CAGTGGGAATATCACAAGGTCTCCGCAGTGAAAAATCCCTAGGTGCCCGCAGTGCAAAAATCACCAGGTCACCGAAGTGGAAAAATCAACAGGTCCCCATAGTGGGAAAATAAACAGGTCCCCGCAGTGGGAAACCACTAGGTTCCCGCAGAGTAAAAATCACCAGGCTCCCGAAGTGGGAAAACCACCAGGTCCCGGCAGTGGGAATATCACCAGGTCCTCGCAGTGAGAAAATCACTAGGTCCCTGCAGTGGGAAAATCACCAGGTCCCCGAAGTGGGAAAATCACCAGATCCCCGCAACGGGAAAATCGGTAGGTCCCCGCAGTGGGAAAATCACCAGGTCCCCGCAGTGGGAACTCACCAGGTCCCCGCAGTGGGAAAATCACTAGGTCCCTGCAGTGGGAATATCACCAGGTCCGCGAGGTGGGGAAATCATCAGGTCCCCGCAGTGGGAAAATCATCAGGTCCTCACAGTGAGAAAATCACTAGGTCCCTGCGGTGGGAAAATCACCAGGTCCCCGAAGTGGGAAAATCACCAGGTCCCCGCAATGGGAAAATCTCCAAGTCCCCGCAGTGGGAAAATCACCAGGTCCCCGGAGTGGGAAAATCACCAGGTCCCCGCAGTGGGAAAACCATCATGTCCCCGCAGTGGGAAAATCACTAGGCCCCTGCAGTGGGAATATCACCAGGTCCGCGAAGTGGGAAAATCATCAGGTCCCCGCAGTGGGAAAATCATCAGGTCCTCACAGTGAGAAAATCACTAGGTCCCTGCAGTGGGAAAATCACCAGGTCCCCGGAGTGGGAAAATCACCAGGTCCCCGCAATGGGAAAATCTCCAAGTCCCCGCAGTGGGAAAATTACTAGGTCCAGCAGTGGGAAAATCGCTAGGTGCTCGCGGTTCAAAAATCACCAAGTCCCCGCAGTGGGAAAATCACCAGTTCCCCACAGTGGGAAAATCACTAGGTCCCTGCAGTGGAAAAGTTACCAGGTCCCCGCAGTGGGAAAATCACCAGGTCCCCGGAGTGGGAAAATCACCAGGTCCCCGCAGTGGGAAAACCATCATGTCCCCGCAGTGGGAAAATCACTAGGCCCCTGCAGTGGGAATATCACCAGGTCCGCGAAGTGGGAAAATCATCAGGTCCCCGCAGTGGGAAAATCATCAGGTCCTCACAGTGAGAAAATCACTAGGTCCCTGCAGTGGGAAAATCACCAGGTCCCCGGAGTGGGAAAATCACCAGGTCCCCGCAATGGGAAAATCTCCAAGTCCCCGCAGTGGGAAAATTACTAGGTCCAGCAGTGGGAAAATCGCTAGGTGCTCGCGGTTCAAAAATCACCAAGTCCCCGCAGTGGGAAAATCACCAGTTCCCCACAGTGGGAAAATCACTAGGTCCCTGCAGTGGAAAAGTTACCAGGTCCCCGCAGTGGGAAAATTACTAGGTCCCGCAGTAGGAAAATCGCTAGGTGTCCGCAGTGTGAAAATCACCAGGTCCCAGCAGCGGGAAAATCACTAGGTCCCTGCAGTAGGAAAATCACCGGGTTCCCGCAGTGGCAAAATCACTAGGTCCCGCAGTGGAAAAATCACTAGGTCCCTGCAGTTGAAGAATCACCAGGTTCCTGAAGTGTAAAAACCACCAGGTCCTGCTGTGGGAAAATCATTTAGTGGTCCAAAACCACCAGGTCCCAGCAGCGGGAAAATCACTAGGTCCCTGCAGTAGGAAAATCACCGGGTTCCCGCAGTGGCAAAATCACTAGGTCCCGCAGTGGGAAAATCACTAGGTCCCTGCAGTTGGAGAATCACCAGGTTCCTGAAGTGTAAAAACCACCAGGTCCTGCTGTGGGAAAATCACCAGGTTTCTGCAATGGGAAAATCACAAGGTCCCAGCAGTAGGAAAATCGCTAGGTCTCCGTAGTGGGAAAATAACTAGGTCCCTACAGTGCGAAAATCACTAGGTCCCCGAAGTGGGAAAAAAAATATCGTTTTTTTATCTGAAAAAATGTAAAGTTATAGGTATGAGCCACTTTGAGACGCACCCGGTATACAGGATGATGTCTTTTTTATCTTATTTATCACTCTGAACTACACATAGCAATCAGGCGATGCCCTGCTGCCCCCCGAAGTCAATCTATCGAACTTTTAACGCATCCCCCACCAGCCTGGTGGGTGGATAGGGGACAGTTTCCAGAGTGAAACTTGATAGATTGTGTATGGGAAAAGTTTAAGCGGTTCCGAGCCCAGATATGTTTGCTCCAAATTAAGCTGGCGTGTATTCTGCGGTGTTTGTAAACGGTTAGAATGTATAGAAGCAAGGAATTTAGCTGGAGTCGTTTATTATTTCTTCATTAACAAGTTCGGAGCTCGTTGTTTGGTTTATAGGAAGATTTTATACTACTTTTTAATAGCTTTTAATAATAGTTATTTACAGTACAAGGGTGTTTATCAACATGATTACAACACTCGTGTGATTAGAACGACTCGGTCTACGACCTCGTCGTTCTAATTGTTCACACTCGTTGTTGTAGTCATCTTCATAAACACACTTGTACTGTAAATAACTATTAAACGCACGTGTCATGTACAACGTTTTATCTACAACCGAAAAATAAGAAAAAAAATGTTTTCATTTTCGTTTATTTGTCGCCCACCTTTAACACCTTTAACTATGACATTTTTCACATTTTTTTATTTATAATTGTGACAGACAGACCTTAGACCTTTCAGTTAGACCTTCACTATTATCACCGTCATCATCATCAACAGCAGGAATTGTTTTGAAGAAGTGTAAAAAATGTGTTATTAATATTTATAATAATTAGTAGTAGGAATTTTAATTAGACCTAAATTACACTATTTTTACTAGAAATAACAATGACAGGAGTATTGTAGCTAAACGATTAGATTTTTACAAATTGTAAGTTTTGGGTTCGTTGAAGGACTATTAGGGCTACAATTTAAAAATATTTCTACAAGATACAGAGTGTCCCAAATAAATAAAAAATATCAAAGTTGTATTTTTTTAAATGAAACACCCTGTATATTATTGCATTTTTAGTTTCTACGATTAAAATAAAGGTAAATTTGATTAAAGTTTATTACACTTAAGCCTTGCCGTTTTTGAAATACTTTCAATTTTGTGAAATTGCAGTATAAATTTTAAGGCTTCATTTCTCCGAGGATATCAAAGTTTTTAATACTAAATATTTACTGAAGTTTATTTATTGATCAGTTATTGTGTTGCAATAATAAAAATTATATTACCTTATACAGAGTGTCTAAAAATTTATTTTAAATAATTACTAGCTCTAAACGGCAATAACTTATTTACTTTAAATAGAACACCCTGTATATTTTATGAATGAGATGCACAATTTAATTGTCTATCAAATTGTATTATACCACTTCTTACCTATTCCTCCAAGTTTTCGTAGAAAATGCATTTTCTTATAATTTAGACCTCATTTATCAATATACCTACCTATGGAATATTGACATTTTCGATTGTTTTTAAAACAACAAATGTACAAAATGTACAGGCTAGTAATATTATTGTTTTTAATAGAACGATAATATTACTAGCCCATTTGTATGCAAAAAGAAAACTATTTAAATCTTTATAAAAGAGTATACCATTAATTAAATATACCACCAGTATTTCCGCCCAAATAATAATTACCTACATACTTAATTTTGTTCGTTAATAAATTATTCTAAATAAATGTGGATTTGAATCAGAAATCAATATAATAATAAGTTATGAAAATGAACGTCTCTGTTGTTATAATTAAGCATTTGTCAAACAATTAAATATCATTTTTAAGGTATTACTTTTTACCACACTGTCTAATACACATACATAATTCAGTTTTTTAGTATTTGGAGCAATTATTATTAATCAACGCAAACAGTCAATTAATGTAGTTTGAATACTGGAATCATATTAATTGGTCCTCTTTAACAAATACCTATTTACAAAGTTTTTTTTTATTTTTTAATGAAATAATCGAACTATATCGACAATATTAGTATCTGCACTCTTTAAAAATTTGGTACATATTTAAATTACAGTTGAGGGTTGGAACCTTTGGTGTTACACAGCAAAATAAAACACTAAATCACCACAATACACCAAAACACTTTTACTTTTACACTGGACGCGCATTTCGCTAACCATGTTAGCATCATCAGCAGATGATTATAAACTCAAAATTACATCTTTAAAAATAATCTAAAATGTTAGTATTCCATGGGTATATTGATAAATGAGCTAAATTACAAGAAAATGCATTTTCTACGGAAACTTGAAGAGATAGGTACAACATGGTATAATACAATTTGATAGACAATTAAATTATGCATCTGATTCTCATAAAATATACAGGGTGTTCCATTTAAATTAAACAAGTTATTGCCATTTAAAGCTAGTCATTATTTAAAATAAATTTTTAGACACTCTGTATAAGGTAGTAAAGTTTTTATTAATGCAACACAATAACTGATCAATAAATAAATTTCAGTAAATATTTAGTATTAAAAACTTTGGTACCCTCGGAGAAATGAAGCCTTAAAATTTATACTGCAATTTCACAAAATTAAAAATATTTCAAAAACGGTAAGGTTTAAGTGTAATAAACTTAATCAAATTTTCCTTTATTTTAATCGTAGAAACTAAAAATGTAATAATATATAGGGTGTTCCATTTAAAAAAATACAACTTTAATATTTTTTATTTATTTGGGACACTCTGTATCTTGTAAAAATATTTTTAAATTGTAGCTCTAATAGTTCTTCAACGAACCCAAAACTTACAATTTGTAAAAATCTAGTCGTTTAGCTACAATACTCCGTGTCGTATGTGGTGAACAACCCTGTATAATCAAAAACCCTTGAAAATTACCATTAATTTAAATCAAATATTTTCACCAATTCTTAATGTTTCTGTTGCCAAAAAACAAGTTATTCGTTCATTTTTATTCATAAGATCATTAAGTAAAACAAAACAGGAAATTAACAACATTTTTTACTTATAAAAATATTCCTACAAATAAACTACCATTCAATAACTCTTAAATAACTGTTCTACATATTTGGTTATATCTGCCACATGTACCTGCTCCTGAAAAGAAAAATAAACAAAATATAAATATTTGAAAACTAAAATTTACAAAAAAACAACTAATCAATAAAAAAAATAATTAATATTTAAATTATAAAGACAAAGATGTAAATAAAAATAATGAATAGTAAGAAAGACCATTATCAAGCACAAATACACAAAAATAAAAACATCTATCTTATATTAAATAGCTAGATAAGGGATTATATACAAAAGGAATTGAATTTTTAAATCCACAAATTTAAAAAATATGAAAAAACAGCATATAAACTGATTTTACATACCTTCAAAGTTGTGTCTCTACTTCTCATCAAACAAATGCCATTTTTCAAAGTATTTTCGTTCAAAATAATATTGTATGGGATTCCCATTTCATCGTACTGCCTCCATTGAGCCTCTAGAGACAATTTTGAACTGCTCGGTATATAAAGCGTTGAAACTTGATTTGCTCTTAATTGTTTTGTCAAATATAGAGCCAGGTCACTCAGTTCAGGTATAAGAGAATATGCTACAAATGATTGATATTTAAAAAAATATATACAGGCTGGCCTCTCATACGCCGCGGAAGCTCCAAGGAGAACGGTAGTTTATATCGAAATGAAATTTTGGCGGCATATATAGGTTAACTGAAAGCATTTTATAAAAATATATAGAATTATACAGGGTGTCCCCAAAAAAAGTTACACATCAAAGTTATGTTTTTTCTAATGGAACACCCTATATAATAATTGATTTTCGGATTCTAGGAAAAAAATTAAGGTGAGTTTTATTAAAGAAGCATATACATAAAATCTAAGGATTTCGACATATTTCACATTTTGTGAAAATGAAGAGTAAATTTTAAATTTCGGTAACAGCTACCTAAATTTTAATTGACCTTGTATAGCCCGATATTTAATTACAGTAACCATTCTATGTTAGACCAAATTAAATTTTGACACGAAAAGTTATACAGGGTGAGACAAAATTAATATGGAACATTAGTCACTTTTAAAAGCAAGTTACTCCTTTATTTTAAATGGAACACCCAGTATATTTTTCCGGTGTTCAATGGGGAATTTATATATCTTCAAAATATTATTAAGGTTGCCTACCCCCACACAAATATTTTCCTAGATGTTTTAATTTTTATGATTTTGCGTCAGTAGATATTGATTATTTGAAAAAATCTAGGTGGCTGGGTGATATAACTTTTGTTAATTTAACAAAAATTAAAGATTTCAAAGTAAAATATTCATCTGTAATAAAAAGATACACGTTTAAAACATATTTTATTTATTACAGAATAAAAACTAGATATCGTTCTATTGCTGCCAAAAGTCACTAACTAACATTTTTCCGAACAACCAAATTCAATCACTAACTATGTTTTGAAGCGGAGAATCGATTGCAAAAGTCATTAACTACGATTTTTGGCTATTTATGTTTTATTTTAATACCGAATAGTTACTAACTATAACATCTTTATGCAATGCAATTCATCTTTAGACGCATTTTTCTCGGAAGTAATAAAAAGTAAGTTAGTGACTTTTGGCAGCAATGGGACAATATAAACCTATAATTATGTGACAAAAATTAGCTACATGAAATCAAGTGCTCAATATCCTTTCCTGTTATCTACATAAAATGATTGTCGTTTCAAAAGGATCTTTTCATTTTAAAAGGCATATGTGGAGTTCTACCTTCAAAAGCAGCTACAATAATTTCTCTCATGTTGTAGACAATAGTTGGTCGAGTTTTGTAAACACTCTCTTTAACATATCCCCATAAAAAATCCAGACTAAATAATATCAGGAGCATTTAAGTATTCTTTGAGGTCGCAGTGACCAAACCAAACCCCCCCCCCCTCCCAAGTAGCATTTGGACGTTATCTAACGTCGGGTATACGTCGCGTTCAATAAACCCGACGTCGGGTACCAACGTCGGTTCGACCGCCTGACGACCCTTATTTGCACCTAAATGGGGAATACAGATTCGGGTCGCCTCGACGTCGGTATCTGACCTAATAGGGATTCTAATTCTACCAATTACCAACGTCATATTACGTTGGATTTTAGTTACTTAAAATTCGTCGCTAAGCACTTACGTTACTTTTGGTTTCATATTCGCTACCAAGAATACATAAAAACCTAACCAAACTACCTAATTACCAATGGATTCATAATAACTCCTCGAATATAACTATAAGTGCCTACCTAATTTCATATTATAATAATTGTGAATCATTAATCCAGACATCAGTTTTCTCAACGGAAGTCACTTTTTTTATATATCTGATTAAAATACTCCGGAAAACAACGAGCGCCTTCAAAATTACGTAGATTTATGAAATAAAAATATCTATAAAAAAGTAACTCGCAAAATATTTTTTTTATTTTCAAGCTGGTTTAATCATAAAACTGTACGGTGGTTCCCTCCAAAATCAACCTTATCAATATTATTCTACTAGAAATCGGAATGTGAATATAAATTTTAAACACAAAAAACGATTTTAAAATGGCTAACAATCGGATACTTGTTAAGAATGGCGGATTTCTGTGTCCGACTTAATATGAACTACCAATATACCAATTCCGACCGGATCTCCAACATTAATCGTCTCACACGACCGAAGTCATCAAACCGGACGACCGGCAATCGTATTATGACGTATGCCACGTAACCTCACTTTGCGTATCAGTGATTTGTGGATTTGTGCAACTATATTTTAGTTTTTGTTTTCTCCTTAAAAAAATGGGCAGCCACTTTTTTAAGATAGTATATACAATACAAAATTTAAAAGAATTGGAACCAGTACCTCACATGAGGGAGGAGGATGGGGTCTGCTAGTTTCCTAAGCTTAAAAATGAAATTAAGATGCACTAGTGTAATGCAGCATCACTTCCGGATAAAAAAACATTCGTGGGTGGAGGCAAGATGAAACTACTACTATTGTTATTTTGCAAAAGCCTCGACCTCTTTCTGTAAAATGTAGATGAATGTCTAAATGCCTGTTTAGTGTTTTTTTAGGCGTAATAAAAAAAATAAGTTTGTTTACAAAAACTTTTTATTAGGTTATGTTCATGATGTACATTAGGTCGCAAATGCTACTTAATGGGTTGTATTTACGGACTTAAATAGAGATAGGTAAATTAGGTTATAAATATGAACATAAAATACAACAAAATATAATTGGACGTTAGTTTAGGGATTATCAGTGAGACGTATCCTATTCGGACAACGGGTAGACGTCGGGCTAGTTCAAGTATATGTACGTCGTGCAAGCCAACGTGGGAACGACGTTGGGAAATTAATAAAAATGGTACGTTGTTATTTTGTACGTCGACAGATCATTGGATTTACCGACTCGGATCCAACGACGTCGCTTTTAATAGGAAAGCGACGTCACAGGTCGTATCACGAGCACCCGACCTAAATTTGCACAAAGTCTGACGTCGCTTCAGGTCAGATTTAGTTCGAAGTCAGATAGATGCTACTTGGGACTGCACCCTGTACAGTTGCTCTTGCGTATTTCTTTCAATATTTCAAGGAAAAGTTATGTCATAGAAACTATAGTTAAAAATAAACCTGACAAACGGATTTGAAACAACAAGACAACGGTAAGGAGAACGTAGTTTTCTAAAAACATGGCCGATTTCATTCATAAAATATCCCAAGGCGTGTGGCGTTTTATAAAAATATATCAAAAATTTCTGTAACGTTTCCAGTAAACTTAATATTATTTTATTTTATTAAATGTATATTCGATATCAATTAAACTTTTAGTATGTAAGAAGAGTACAATGCGTATATAATGTACTGAACAAAGAAAGGACAGTAAACACGTTGCCAAACGTATGAAATAAACCGAGAAACTGTGCACATCGCCAAGAGACGTGGAAGGGGATATAGCAGATTTGTCGCAGTTGACCGGTCGACCCAATTACCTCTGTCAGTACTTAAAGTTCTAGGGAAAGGTGTACGTCATGCGTTCGGCTTCACGATTTAATTACGTCTCGTGATACTTGATTTGTTTATTTATTAACGAGTCGTTGTAATTTTCCCTATAGCTTGAATTTTTTTTAAGTGCAAGCTAGAAACACTTGCATTTTTGGTAAAAATAAGTGGAATTGAGTGGGTGTTCGATAGTGGTCGCGCTATTAGAACTCTGAATTCAAAAATCGATATCTCGAAATCTATTAGAAATAATAGATTGTAGTTTTTTCAAGAACTTTGTTAATATTTCTGCTGTATTTTCTTTGTAGACAGTATGTGAAAATCTTTATCAGTAAAAAAATTACACGATTGCTGAAAATTGCTATGCTCTAAAAGTAAATGGATGGATTGTTTACAATTTTTGAATGGAAAAAACAACCTTATCGAATTTTTCTTATGTAAACATATTCTAAAATATCCGATATTGGAAATAAAAAAAAAGTTTCAATATCTAAAGTGGTTCTTGAGTTATGGCCTGTTATGTGTTAAAAATTTGAGTTTTTAAATTATCGCGATTACTGACGTTTTCTCGTTATAAAAAAAATGACATCCTAACGATATCCTTATAATTCCATTTCAGATGCTGAGAAACATGTCTAATGATTTTATCTAGTTACCTTTTGAAAAAAAGTCTTTTAAAAATAAGCGGTTTGCGATCGTGATTTTACTTTACTTGATAGGGAAAGGTGTATCGGCAACGCCGCGACAGCACACCGTCGCACAGTGCTTCGCCCCATGGACAAAAATCGAAAAAAAAAGTTAAAATTTAATAATATCTGAATATGTAATTTTATACTTATAGAAATGTTCAGCCATCCTGTATATTATTTTTCATAAACAGCGTTTTTTGTTAGCAAATATTTTCACTAAAAATAAATCTTGCGATCATTATCTTATATCAGTGAAAAGAATAGCATTCATAGTAGTTCTGTATATGGAGTTAAACGGTACGTACTTAATTGAAAGCCACTATGGATATTGTTAAACAAGGTATGTGCTTTAAATTTATTTCTAAACAAGTTCGTGATTGTTTAGTTTTTATTTATTTTTTAAGATGATTCTTAGATGATGAAAAGGCATTTAAAAAAAACATATCAAAACATATCGTATTTATTGAATATTTGTGTTGTCATATTCATACACTTTTAATTTTTGTATAGTTCACCTGCGTCTGCTTGCGACGAACTTTATTTTATAATACTTTTCAGATGGAGTAACATTGATTAGCAATGCCGATCTGGTTAATACTTGGCTTGATCATAAGGACAAGAACTCAAAATTATTTGTATTTCAAAAAATATGTTCTTTATTAGATATTGATGAACCTTCCAGTCAAATGAGACACCACTTGTGCCTGAAAAAGTCCACTATATTGGAGCGAAATATCGCATAAAAAAGTTTCCATTTTTCAATTTATTATAAAACCTAATACCCAAAAAAAAGGAAAAAATAATATATGGATATGGTCTATTAAAGAGGTAATTAACATCCGAACCCCTCATACCAACAAAAAGAACAGTAACAACGCGAAAAAGTAACATATTAGAAAATGATGTACAGAAATATCTTATATGTGAGGATATTTCATCTACCTGTGATTTGGGTACTATAAATTTGGAAGATTCTGTCAGCAGTGATTCTTCTGAATCAGAGTAGTTACGATCTATACATTTTGTTGTCCTAAAGTAAATTTATAATATCTTAAGTTTTCTTTTTAATTAAATATAGCATTAATGTTTCTTTTTCATTAAAGAAAAAAATTTTTATCTCATGTTCTAATATTATTTCAATTATTTTTTATCACAGGGATTTATTTAATACTTACACCGTTTTCATACTATAAATTATTATTTCCTTAGATGGAACACAGCTACAACATTTTTATTATTTATAAAATTTTTTTTCATAAACGTGGGACTAAGCACATCATCATTTAGTACAATGAGAGTACTCATCATTTGTATCAAATAAACCTAGTTTGAATAAATTGCCTACAATAAAAGAGAAGTTTTGCATTTTTGTCCTCTAGAGCCATATGTTCGAAGCACTGTGCGTCGCGTTGGTCATTCGCATTTCTCTCACTCCGACTTAATAAGATCCCTATGCGATTTACTTCAACACATGTATATGCCGACCCAAAAGTAACAGTTGCCAGCACGGTATAATGTTGTGATATTTTAAGCTTAAAAATATTTACTAGTAAACCTTGCAGTCCAACATTGCTCTTTTTAGAACCTCTTTTAGTGTAAAGTGTACATGATAGTGTGCAATAGCGGTAAAAAACTCATCGCAACTTAACTAGAATATATTGAACGGGAAAGCGGTAGTAATGGCCCTTTATGTCCCTTAAGTGCTGTTAAAAAGATGAGTTAAATAAAATGAATAAACTTAGTTTATAATCATCTGCTGATGATGCTAACATGGTTAGCGAAACGCGCGTCCAGTGTAAAAGTAAAAGTGTTTTGGTGTATTGTGGTGATTTAGTGTAATTTTATTTTGATGAGGGTGCATCCACACTATCCTTAAAACGGCGTATCGGCGTAACGGCGTAACGACCTTGAATAGATTTCCAGTAATTGGCTGAAAAATTCATCTGTCAGATATTTTATCTGTCAAATTCATCTGTCAAAAATTGCAGCCAATAGAATTACTGGAAATCGATTCAAGGTCGTTACGCCGTTACACCGATACGCCGTTTTTAGGATAGTGTGGATGCACCCTCAACTGTATATAGTTTGACCTGTATAAAAATGGTATTTGGATACTCACTTGACGTGGAAATGGCAAAACTTATCCTGTATGGAGCTAATTTCCTGTGAAACCTTAATAAAGTTCTTGAAATTCCCTTATATGCTGATTGGTCGTAAGCATCGCAAATGGTATTAAGAAATAAACTGGTTAAACTAACTTCACTAACAACGTTATGAGCTTGAATTGTCTTTTTACCTTCTTTAAACTATTACAAATTAAAAAAAAATATATTAAGTAAAATCTAATTTAGTCTAATATTATATTATTTCATTATACCTGTTGATCTTTGATGGTTAAATTATTACAAGATGGATATAGAGTTAATGTTTCTACTATTTCGTCTTGCCAAGGGTATTTTGCAACAATTTCAACAGTTTGGATGTTATTACTGTTGGTTTTTATGTCGGAGAGTGAATATCTTCCGGGGTTTGGAGAAAACTAAACAAAATAATACTATACCGGGTGTTTCAAACGATAGAATTTTAATTATCGTCATATTTTTTGCTGTTTTCAAATATTAAAGAAGCACAAAATTTATTTAGTTCAAAGCTTGGGAAAGGGTTATAGTTATTGGAAAATGTGATACTTTAATACTAAAAATATGACGTTAATCAAAATTAATAACCATCTATCAAAGAATGAAATCGAAATTATATTACTACAGAGCGTTTTGATTTTTAGGACATTTAGAAAAAATCAACCATATTTTCATGCCTTTTTTAATAAAATGGTATGGAAATTTGGAAAAGTATAAAAGGGATTAACCATTTTAGAACAAGAATTTTTTTATGGAGAATGCATTTTTCTGAAAATGTCAAAAATAAAAAAGTTTTTCCTGTTGTAAAGACAATCCGGGGACATACTGTATATTAACTTTTCTGCAAATTTAAAGCTCTATAAAAAAACTATATTGGTAATAACAAACAGTGCAAAAGTTATCAATTTTAGGTAATAGAGAAAATGCTTAACAAAACAAAATGTTCGATAAAAGTTGTTTTAATATAAAGTACCTACAGTATGTTCCATTTGAAATAGCACAGAAAATCATCATATCTAGTTCTGAATCAACCTGTATACACCAAGAAACTTACTATACACTTACTGCTTAAGAAAATACCGTTATTTAAAAATCAGCAATAATAGCAATTTTTAAACTTTTAAAAAGCTTAAAAAATAAAACTAGGCAATTTAATAAAAAAAAGTAATACTTAAAAAAACACCCAGTACAGATTATAATATGATTGAATTTTTGGGTTGGCAATTTTATGAAAAATATACAGTATTTGAAAAATATATAGAAATATACAAAAAATTGGCGTCGGGAGGCACGTATAGCCGCCCATACTAAAATATGTTAATAAAAACTTGGTAAGCAATTCTTTTAGTTTCAAAGTAAAGAAATTTTTCCATTTTTTTTTATCTCAAAAACTGCGACTTTGACTGTTTTTGATTGGATGAGTTTCTGAGGATGATATTTTTGCTGTTTTTGACACACATTCAGACACCATAGATAATTTTATTTCTAAGTTAAATAATCGTTCTCCTTCCATTAAATTTACGCATGAAATTGAGAACAACGACAGATTACCATTTCTAGATGTATTAGTTATTAGAAATAATAATAATTGCCTGGAATTTGATATCTATAGGAAAAATACCACTACACGCAGATATATTCCTAATGAATCATATCATAGTGTTGAACATAAAATGGCTAGTTTAAATTTCTTAGTTCATAGATTACTTAGTTTTCCACTTTCCAGCGAAAGATATGAAATAGAAAGAGATTACATTGGGAATGTAGCTGAGTGTAATGGATATTCTCCTTCATTAGTTGATAAAATAATAGAAAACGTAGGTATAGGTTAATGATTTCTGAAAATTCGACTTTTCAAGTGGAGAAAGATACGTCAAAATATTTTTCAATACCGTTTGATAGAGAGTTATCACATGATACAAAGAATACAAGGTATGATATTGCGCAGGTTGGTCACTACGTCACAGGTGATAAACGGCACCATTGGTCAGCAAGCTCCGCGCGCCAGTTTCAAATTGTCAAACAGTTGACATAATAAATGTGAAAATAATTTTTCAAATGTCAAGCTCGATGATTTGACATAACTTTTGGGGGTTATGTCTTTCAACAGGGATATTTTTTGTATGGCGTATGACGTCACAGGTGGTATGCGCAAACTTAACGAAATTGGAGCCGCTATCGATCATACCTTGTTTTCTTTGTACCATGGAGTTATCCCGTGGTCTAAAAGGAATTTTTAAGAATGTCAATTATAAACTTGTGTATAGTACTAATAATAAATTACAACAATTATTAGGTAATCCAAAGGATTAAACGCCTCCACTGGAAAGGTCTGGTATTTATGAAATTTCTTGTAAAGATTGTAATCAGAAATATGTTGGGCAAACTAGAAGATCAATATTAACTAGATTTAAAGAACATTTAGCTCAAATAAGATATGGTAGACCGGATAAATCTTGCGTTGCCGAACATATTGTTGATAAAGAATATTGTATAGATCTTAATAATTTAATGTTAATTAATCAAGTCTCAAATTACAGGCAATTAGATGCATATGAAAGCATCAGAATTAATAAATGTAAAGATAGTATAAACAGAGACAACGGTCCAATTCCTTCAAGTTCTTTGTTCCTACTACTCTAGTGGCGGAAATTTAACAGTTACGCTCGGTGGGCTCTGACTCGGTTGGCTAGATCTTACCACGCCCACTCGGTGCCCACTGAGCGAGTATATAAACGCTCAACTTGTAGATTGTATTTTAGTTTATAATCATCTGCTGATGATGCTAACATGGTGTGCGAAACGCACGTCTAGTGTAAAAGTAAAAGTGTTTTGGTGTATTGTGGTGATTTAATGTTTTTTATTTTGCTGTGCAACACCAAAGGTTCCAACCCTCAACTGTAATCTGTTTTTGATGTTGTTACAAATTTTGCTGCAAATATTATTCCTAATCTTAAATTGAAAACCGCCTTTCGCTAGCTACTGTAATTTTGGAGTTACGATTTTTTAAAATTTTTAACCCCCTCCCATATCCCCTTACCAACCCCCCACCCCCACAAAAAACTAATGGCCAGATTCTCGGGTGCTACAGTATTTTTGTATCAAATTTGGTTAAAATTGGTTTAGCGGTTTTTGAGTTATCGTGTTACAGACAGACGGACAGACGGACAAACAGACAGACACCATGAAAATATTTTGTATTTAGGTCATTTATGACCCAAATAACTCATTTTGAGTGAAATTAAAATAACTTTTTTTGGCCTATCTTAATAGCCTACCATACCTGTAGGTATGGTCGACTAAAAATATGAAAATCTGAAAAGCCCTTAACTTGAGATCGACAATATTATAAATTTCATATATACAGAAACAAAAAAAAACAAAAACTGGTCCAGTATAATTAAAAAAATACAAAATACAGTAAAAACATGTTAAAAATATAAGATACTTAAAATACTAAAAAAGAAAATGTCTCACCTTTCTCCACCACATTCTTCTATGTCTTTGCCATTTATAAAAGAAACTCTGAGATTCGTTACTCGACACAAAAACTGTGCTTTTTAATAATACTTTATCGTTATCATCAAACATTTTTTCAAAATTGATTTTATCTGATTCCTTATAGGTCTCCATTAATTCATCTACAGTCTGTGACCTCTTATTGTTTATTACAATATTCTGACATATACCAAAAGGTAGTTTTTCAAGACATAATTTTCTACCAAACTGAAAAGTCGATTCAAACTCCTCATCCAGGAACATACTTATATCATTGTTAATAACAATATTGTTATACCATTCGTTTCTTAGATTGTGCATCAATAAGTTTCCAACAGGTCCGATTTTTAATTGAAAAAAATTTAATGTGGGAAAAACTAGTTTTTTTACAAAACCATGCTTTTCCGATAAATTTATAATAGAATTAAACATTTTTCTGATCTTTTTCGTAAAGAAGATCCTCTCTAGGTTCCAGTGCAATATTTCCTGGAGGTGCCACAAAATATTCTTCCTCTGTTAGGGCAGCGTTCCTCAGAACATCAGCCTTTGTGCTGTCTTGGGCAACTATATCTTCTCTTAATCTTAGATGACTAAAAAAACAAGTATTTTAATACATAAACCCCTCTCTAAAATAAAAAATTAATACATACACGTCTTCTAGAACTGTAACTAAAGGATCAACCCCCGTAGTATCGACTTGTTGAATCTGATCAGCAAATTCTATAGCAGCTTCCAAAGTAGCAATTCCTTCTTTATTAGCACAATCTACCAAAGACAACCGTTCTAAAAGTGCGATAGTGTCCGCATCAATTCGAGTCTTTTCGGGTAATTTTGTAGGATCAATTTTGGAAGAGACAGGATTCTTTGGAACGAGCTGCTTCTGATTTAACAAGTTTTTCGTCGACTCTTTTGCTATACAATAATGCCTTACTTGCGAGAACGTATAGAATCTTAAACGATTCATTACTATTCGTTTATAAAGCCGAGTTATACTTAATTTTATTCAAACATAATATAACAATATTTAAAAAATTATAACCTCTGAAAATTAAAAATAACATAACCTAACAAAGTTGTGTCGCTTTGACTTAAGGTGTTTCAATTGGTATATGTATTTCAAGAATATGACATCATATTAAATTAAATTTTACTAAAATGTAGGAAAATATGTAAGATTCTGTAATAGAAAATTGAAGTACTTAATTATTTTTAAATTCCTTTTAAATTATAAGCAAGAATCTTCTTAATTAGTTTAGATTGAATTTATTTTAAAATTTATTATTATATGAAACCTCTTCGAATATATATGATTTTGTGACAGATTCATGACAGCTGACAGATTATCTCATTCCATTTTCCATTTGTTTTTGGTCTTTGGATGATTAAGCTGCTTTGTTATGATAAATATTCTAATTTTGTTGTTTTAATAATAACCAGAGTATTTAAATTACATTAAGTATATCTTAGATTTTATAACAATACAATCAGGATGCCTTCAGGGATACCACAAATTCCAAATTTTAATATCAAGGTAATGAAATATAATTTTGTAAAGCATGCAATTACCTACATTATTTTATTTTTGCTTTAGGTAATATTCTTAGTACACTTCTTATTTATTTCAATAAGTTGTATGGGATCGTGGTCAGGCAACGGCTTTTTATTCTATAACTCGTTATTAATATTTCTCCTGCTGTGGAGTATATTCCATTCTGAAAGTCAAGAGCCCTTACAGTTGGTCAGTATAGAAATACAAAACGAATATAATATTGTCTATAACTATTATTTCCTTAGGCTATTGTTATTGATGGATTTTCAGTAATGTTAGATATAATATTACTAATTATGAACTTCCCAACGCGTGATGATATTCTCCATTATAGTAAGGCTATTTTCAAAACAATCTAAATTTGGTATATCAATATATTTTTTATAGGTGCAGGTAATACATTTTCAGCAGCAATAGCAATAATACATTTGCTAATAAGACCAGTATTAACCTACCTGTTAGTAAGGAATCTCGAAGATAGAGGAGGAAACACAGGTATATTTTAATTCAGCATTATTTTTGATAGCTCGTAATCTAAGTGTAATAATTGTCTACCGTTCCAATTGTGTTGCTTTTCAGGTAATATATTTTGTTTTAATTTTTTTTACCCTTGCTTGCTACTATATATATTAAGATTGAATTAGATTTTTCCTTTATTTAAAGGATCTTTTCCAAATTATAACTTTTTTTAGGAACTATATCAAATATGTTTGCTGCTAATCGAACTGAATCATACGAAGATATAGATAGACCATCTCCTGCTTCACAAAATACTGCACAAGATGGGTATACTTTTGCATCAGCTCAGCCCATTTAATCTGTATCTTTTTATTTAGACTACCAAATAACTAATTTTCATTTATATTAATAAGAATATAAGTTTAATTTCTTCATTACATTATATGAATAGTATAAATAATTTTACTCAAATAGAATATGTAAAAAGTGTCTTTATTTGTAAGCAAATAACTTAAAAATAAGTTTTATAATTATGTATATAAGGCTGTAATAAATATTATTGATAGTCAATAAAATAAATATGCTGTTATTAAGTTTTTTAATATTATATAATAAAACTAGCGTTTGCCAGCGACACCGTTCGCGTCGAATTAATCATTTGTAATGGTGATGATAAAGCAAAGCAAGAATTTCCATTAACATACAAACTGGATAAAATTTTCTCACATTTATGTCAGCATGAGAAAAAACAATATGGCGATATTATTATATAACTTGGTAATATTTGAGGGGTAGTTTCATATTGTTGGAAATTGACTTTCGATAAAAATAAGCTTTTTACGTCAAGCAGTTTAAGCAGAATCGTGGTTAAGAAATTACCCTACTTTTTGGAACACCCTGTATGATTTTTTCAAATTATGTAAAAAAAACAAATAAATTATGCTTGTCCAAGCGTTTTCCCGAAAGACTAACCTTTTTTTAAGTAACAAATATTGTAATATTTGAGGGGCGTTTTTCACCCTCTTGGAATTTGAGATTCGAAAAACCCCTTCTTATCGAACCTCTACACCCCACAGTCAATCCGTTTGCCAAAAATCAGCTTTAAACGTCAAGAAGTTTAAGCAGAATCGTGATTACTCAATGGTCATATTTTATGAAACACCCTGTATAAATTTATAAAAATCTTAAAATATATAAAACAATAAAATAAAATATACGTGTTTAAGAGTTTTTTCCGAAAAACTCACCGGTTTTTAAATAAAAAATATTTTAATATTTGAGGGATAGTTTCACCCCCATAGAATTCGAGTTTCGAAAAATCCCTTCTTATCGAACCTCTACACCCTAAAGTTAATCTGTTTTCCAAAAATCAGCTTTTTACGTCAAGCGCTTTAAGCAGGATCGTGATTAATCAATGACCAGATTTTTCGAAACACCCTGTATACATTTTTAAAAAATCTTAAAATATGTAAAAAACAAAATAAAATATACGTGTTTAAGCGTTTTTTTTGGAAACTTGACCGTTTTTTAAATGAAAAATATTGTAATATTTTAGGATCCTCTTGGAACTGGAATTTCCAAGAGGTTCCTCAAATATTACAACATTACACCCTCTTGGAACTGGAATTTCGAAAAATCCCTTCTTATCGAACCTCTACACCCTAAAGTTAATCTGTTTTCCAAAAATCAGCTTTTTACGTCAAGCGCTTTAAGCAGGATCATCGTGATTAATCAATGACCAGATTTTTCGAAACACCCTGTATACATTTTTAAAAAATCTTAAAATATGTAAAAAACAAAATAAAATATACGTGTTTAAGCGTTTTTTTTGGAAACTTGACCGTTTTTTAAATGAAAAATATTGTAATATTTTAGGATCCTCTTGGAACTGGAATTTCCAAGAGGTTCCTCAAATATTACAACATTACACCCTCTTGGAACTGGAATTTCGAAAAATCCCTTCTTATCGAACCTCTACACCCTAGAATCAACCTGGGGGGCAATTTTTGGAATTGATCGTTTACATGCGAACGCGCAACTTTGCGAGTGTTAGAAAACGAATGCGTTTTAAAAATTCAATTTTTCAGCCATCTTCGCATCTTAATTTGCGATCGTCGTGAGCGTACGCAAAATTACGAGCCGGAACTGTGGCAACGTCGCAAATCACAGTGAAAAACTAAATTCTCTCCAGTTTAACCGTATTTTTTACTGTTTATTTACTTTTCATTACTTGGTATCGATAATCGAGGTTTGTTGTGTTGTTGGTCAAGTGGGTTAATAATGGAAAAAAAACGTGGAACTAATGTTAGAGAAAAGCAAAAAGTAACGTTAATATTTGTAAAGAAATTGCAATTGCAATAGGCAATGCAATAAATACCCGTATTGCAAAACCATACTGTTCTCTATTCTGTTGAGTTTTTCAAAATTATTTGTAAATTCAACCCATTGATCGGATATCTCTGGATGGTTTAGACCGTTGGTAACTTCATCAATTGAATGAGAAACCGAGGCTTGGTACATATCGATGTATTTATTTAAAGCAATATCCGGGCTGGTAACAACCACTTCCGTAAAATTTCAAAGCAGCTAAAGCTAAAATCTGAAATTTAATGTTACTTCATAGATATACAATAATAGAGAAAAATGTTACCCGGCTTTGCACATCCCAATCAGTCTTCTTTGTGGTCGCATGTACGGCTCAAGTAACTGAATTAAAAAACGGCACAAGTCTTTGGATAACCGAAATATTTTTATTTTTAATAAATTACCTTTCACTCAGTTCTATGAACGCATTCCCCGGATTGCGCAAAACATTAGGGCGGTATTGCAGTTCTGCATTTTCTAGGTTTCGAATGGCCAAAACATTCATTATCACTACTATTATTGATACACCTAAACCCAACTACAAACTTGGAACTATCAAATCTAATAAGCGCACTTAGAAAACATACCCTTACGATGCTGTCGATCCGCTCGCAAGAGAACGCAGGGAAATTTGCTAATACGCAAAAATACGAACACTTAAAAATTGGATTTTAGTGTTGATCGAAAAGTTGCGAACAATTTGCAAGGAAACGAATAGCCAAAAATTGCCCCCCTGTATGCCAAAATTGAGCTTCTTACATAGATAAATGAAACAAGTTTAGATTGGAAAGTGCCCATAAGGACAATGTAAACACTATTTGGCGCTATTCTTGCAACGGTCGCGACCCAAAACTTTTGAAAATTTCGGAGCGGTTCGGCTTCTTCCGGAATTTTATCGCCAGATATTGTTTATTCAAATTTAATATTATTTTCGTTTAATTTTATAAATAAAATACAGTGTGTTGCATACAAGAAACTTTATTTTATATAAGGACGCATGTATGAAATACCTATGAAACATTGGAAACCGACGTTATGCCACGATCTACGATGGTTTTTGCAGTTCACAGTTCACAGCACAGTTTTTTAAGATTTTAATGCCACTTTTTCACAATTATCACCGGTTGGAGTAAATAAAACTTGAATTAAACTCACAAGATAGCAATAATTACTTCGAAAATGGACGCTATAAACCCTTTTCGGAATTTCTTTAATGAGAGCGGTTTAGGTTTTGAAAGATTATTACGATTTTTGAAGATTCTGACTTTGACAAGAGAAAATTATTTCTGTTTTTGTTTGCCGTTGTTCTTAGCGACCGCTATAGCAGCGCCAGATCGCGTATAACGGTCGCGACCCAAAATTTTTACGGTCTTTCCAATCTAAACTTGTTGCATTTATCTATGGCTTCTTACGTTGAGTGGTTTGAGCAGGATCGTGATTAATCAGTATGTCAGTCACTTAAGGATTTTATATATTAGTATATAGATGTAGTTGTAAAGTGCCTAACAACTAAGAAAACTGTAGTTCTAACAAGAACTACAATTTTTTAAAAGATAAATTGTGTTAGATAAAACTATAACTCTATTAAAATTTCAGCCTTTTCCAGTTTTATACTAATTAAACTAGTTTTTACAAAAGCGTTTTTATAACTACAGTTTTTATAAAACTGTAATTGTTAAAAGTTTGATTCCTAAGACACTGTAGTTTTACTCAAACTACAGTTGAACAAGGTGATGGGTATAAAAATAGTCTTATGAACTTTAACCATCTTTAATGAATAAAATAATGAAACTATGATTTGTATAAAAAGGTACTTGTATAAAAATGACATCAACAATAAAAAACATGAGGTTAAACTTAAACCGTACAGTAATTAACATCTTATAAATATAATATAATGATAATGATACATTATTTAAGTCAATTGTTTCAATGGGTGTGTATATTTAAAAATTGCCTTATTATTATTATTATAATTTAGATTTAAGACTAGACATGAGCTTCTCCAGTTTCATTGCTTGCTGTAAGTTGCCCTTGATCTTCAGTTTGCCCATCATGTACGCCGTCGCTGGTTTCAACTTGCCCGAGAACATGTTGAAGAAGTTTTTGCTGTCCATGGTTAAGGTAGCATCTGGAGCAGATGGTGGTTCACCTTGACCACATCCACCTTGGCCGTTTTTCAGATCTATGTACCTGTAATAAGGTACATATTACAAATTAAGTTTTACCTCACCAAAATGTAGTTCTAAGAAAACTACAGTTTTAAGAAAGCAGAGTTTCCACAAAACTAATTCTTAATAGATAAATACTACAGTTTTACCTGCTGATTTTAATATAAGAAAGTGTGATTCTAACAAAACTGTAGTTCTTCATTTGAAAACTGTAGTTCTAATTAAATTTAAAAACAGAATTACAATTTAAGAATTAACAGATAATACTGTGGTTCTATTAGAACTTCTATTTTTATAGCTTTATTTTAATAAAACTGTAGTTTTTAAAAGTCTAAATCCTAAGATAACTATAGTTCTACAGTGGTTCAAAACCACAGGTTAGGTAGAAAATTGTGAGTTTAATTATAATACTGTAGTTCTATTAATATACCTCTGATTTTTCTATTTTCATAGAACTACAGGTCTTTTTAACTTTTAAGTAACTGTAGTTAATAGAATTACGGAATTTAACTATAATTCAAAATATTGAAGTTCTATTAGAATATTTACTTTTATAGAACTACAGTTTTAACAGAACTGTAGTTAAAAATATAGTTAAAACTAAACAGTAAAAAAACAGTTTTAACTAAACTGTAGTTTTTGTATTAAAACTGTAGTTCTTCCAAAAAATGCTAGTTAGGCTCCCAACTAGCATTTTTTGGAAGAACTACAGTTTAGTTAAAACTGTTTTTTTACTGTTTAGTTTTAACTATATTTTTAACTACAGTTCTGTTAAAACTGTAGTTCTATAAAAGTAAATATTCTAATAGAACTTCAATATTTTGAATTATAGTTAAATTCCGTAATTCTGTTAACTACAGTTACTTAAAAGTTAAAGAGACCTGTAGTTCTATGAAAATAGAAAAATAAAGGTATATTAATAGAACTACAGTATTATAATTAAACTCTCAATTTTCTACCTAACCTGTGGTTTTGAACCACTGTAGAACTATAGTTATCTTAGGATTTAGACTTTTAATGTCTAGTGTTTATACACACACAGGAAAAGTCTAGGGATATTACAATTTTATCCAGCCATCGTCAGTAATTTTATTAGTTGCATTTCTGATATAATAAAATTAAAATAAACAAATAGTTTACAGGACGTATTGGAAATAAAAATGCGAAATTTACCGAATTTTTCAAATTTACCTTGATTTTTATTGAACTCAAAAAAATACACACATTTTTTTTAATTTTAAACTGTGAATTAAAAAAAAAGATAAAACCATTTTTACTTAATAAAGGGTATAGCCTCCTCTACTGTTCATTACAGCCCTACATCGTCTCTCCATGCTCCTTATCAGGTTGTCGATCTCTTCTTGAGGTACAGCCTGCCACGCTGCATTCACGGCCCGAACCAGATTCCTACGAGTTTCACGAGGCATACCCATTCTCAAAATTCTTTGGACCGCGTCCCATACGTGCTCGATGGGGTTGAGGTCAGGAGATTGTGCCGGCCAGGGTAAGATGTTTAATTGATGAGCATTGATAAACTCACTTACCACTCTGGCTGTATGAGGCCGTGTATTGTCATGCATGAGAATGAAGTTTCTCCCAAAATCATTGGCATATGGTAACACGATAGGCTCAAGAATTAAATCACGATATGTGATTCCTGTTAGAAACCTTTCAAGAAAAACGAGATCGGTTTTTCGGCCTAACTGGACTCCTCCCCAGGCCATAACTGTTCCACCTTGATAAGGGTGCACTTCCTGAACATGATCCAACCGAATAAGATTTCCCGGTTCTCTCCATACCCAAAGCCTTCTCGAATCCGGATGAATTCCAAAGCGTGACTCATCCGTGAAGAGAACATTGGCCCATTGTTCATTCGACCACTGAACATGATCTTGAGCCCACAAATATCGTACCTCTCGATTTCCTCTCGTTAAGAGTTGAGCTCTCCAGGGGCGTCTGCTTCTTAAGTTGACCTCTCTTAATCTATTGCGAACAGTGTCAGGACTAACGGTTACATTATGTGTTTCCTGGAGAATTAAACTAAGCTCTGGTGCTGTAAGAGTCGGTCGGCTTCGAGCATTTAATTGTAAAAAATGATCTTGCTGAGGGGTAGTAATGCGATGTCGCCCTGTGTGCCTTTCAGCAACATCACCACTTTCACGGTAGAGTGCACTTAATCGCAATATTACACTTTGCGTTGTATTTAATACTCTAGCTACGTCGATTTGGCGTATTCCAGCTTCGAGCATACCCATGGCCCTTAGCATTTCGTCTCTGTTAAGATGTCTACGCTCCATAATGTCGTTTAATACTAAACAGAGTTATTTGAATGAATTCTGGTCAGTTATCATAGAAACATAGCCAGTACAGGTTAAATTCGAACAATTGATGCTTGGTGCTTTTTATACATTTGACAAAAAATGCAGAAATACTTCTGCAAATATCCCAAATTTAGAAATAACTAGTGTGACTACTTCGTTTCAATCGAAGTAGAAAGAATCGGCCTACAAATATGTGGTTGCTTATTCAAAACATTTATTTTTAACTTTAATAAAATGATATCCCTAGATTTTTCCGGTGTGTGTATATTCTTTAAGTTGCTCACAACCGGCTAGACAAAATGTGCTGCCAGCTGGAGGACAAATCGTGAACCTTTCGGGGCGGAGTCAAAAATATCGATTATTTTCGTTATTTTCCTCAGAGTAATGTAATAATATAGCCCGGGTTTCTGCATCTTTAATAGTGATCAGTTGATTCAGAAATTTAAACGAAACTTTTATTTTATTGTAGATTGTGGATTATTTTTGCCTGTTATTTTAAAAATTCTAAACCGTATTAACAAAGAAATTATTATTTCGATATGGTGGTACATTTTTTATAATTTATGATAATGCTAATTACTGTTAGTTAATATTTAAAAAAAGTTACATACCTACTTTAATTTGATTTAATGCAAGTTTATAAAAGAATCATTTCACTCTTAGATTATTTTATTCTAAATTGAGTGTTTTACGAACTTTACGATATTTTTTTTTTGAAAACATAAAACTTTTTACATTCTTAATTAAATGTTCAAAAAATTGCAACTTGCTTAAACAAAAATTGTAAATATGAATTTTTTAAATGAAGAAAAGCGTGTAGGATTATTGGTTCAACTTTTGTTGGCCATACATTTTCCAGGATACGTTGACCGGTGAATGTTATTTACGTTTTTTAGAGAACGGTTTTCAAGACATGTTAGAAAAGTTAAATTTAGATAGTCGCGCATCAATAGGGTGGTTCCAACATGACTTTCATTATGACACCTCTCCCCCCCCATAATGAAAGAAATGTTAAAAATGATTTATATCACAATTATGCAAACTCAGGGATCGGAAGAGGTGGCCCAATTGCATGGGCCCCCTCGAAGAGGCGGTACGGGAGAACAGTTTCTAAAATAACTTAAGTGTATGGGGTAGTGATATTATGAAGTTTTAGTTTGCGTAATGTAAATCGTAAAGAACCGTTTAATAATATATTCTATGTTTTTATGTTATAAATCATAATATAGTAAGAATACCATGCTAACTAAGTGAAATTAGCCAAGAAAGAAAAGAATTGGCTATAACTATAACTCTGTATCTAACTGTAATTTTTCGAAAAAAACATATATATCGCCGAAAAGCTTAAAAATGGCGATTTTTATGTGATTTTACTTTGACATTGTAAACATTTATAAATGTTTATTTTAAACAATAAGACTGACAATATTATTTGTATAATGTTTTGTATTATCTTTTGTTTGTTTGTTTGTGTACCTTGTTTTTTTACTTTGTTTGTTAGTTTACCTTTGTCTACAAATTGAAAAATTTTTTGACAATAAAGGCATTTATTTATTTATTTATGAAGTCATGGCCAACTATGGCAAAAATTACAGGCTTTAGAAAAAATCGGAAAACACAAACTCATTAGGTATGTGATTATCTACAACTTTTTGTCTAAAATAGATTATAATGGAATTTTGTCAAGTTTTAAAATAGCCAAAATTTGTTTTTTTTTCGAAATATCTAGTAAGCGAACTTTTTCAAAAATCCGGAAGGCGCATATTTATGACCCCACAAAACTGCAATTCTTTCTCCATTAACCGACTCTCTATCTCCAGTAGTTTCCGAGATACCCATAGAGAACATATCGTAGGAAACTCACCCTGTATAGTATTTTGAAACTAACTATTATTATTATTTGACTAGTTTAATTTGATTAATAAGCCTAGATTAATTTAATTTCAAATAAATTTGATCAGCTTTTTTTTCGTATATTCTGCTACCAGAAAACCAAGATTATATGATAACGCACTTTTACAATTTTTTTTACAATTATTACAAGAAAAACAAAAAGAAGAAATACCCAAATACCCCTTCACCTACTACTCAACTACAAAATAAACGAATATAATCTCTTAAAAACACTACACAACTACTTATTCTTGTATTCTACACTGAACAAATTATCAAACTTACTAATTTATCAAACAAAAAGAAAAAATAACAAAATTATCCCTTCACCTACTACTTAACTACAAAATAAACTATAAAAACACTACTAAACTATTTTTGGTAGACTACACTAAACACTATAATTAAACTTAATAAATTAATCTAATTTTACACTACAACTACAAAGAAAAAAGAAATAAGAACATTTTCTAAAACTAGAAGAAACAGAACTTCCATACGTGCTACCAGGATAATAGGTCAAAGGGACAAAGAATATAAAATACCTCGAAAATTATCATTTTTATTTCTCGAAACAAACATTTTTATTTCTTATCAGTGAGAAGCATCAGCCTCGTCGGCCTTGAAGAATTTGTCGGGTATTTACAATGGTCGAATTGTATAATTGCCAGCTTTTATAGCATATCTAATAGACAAAAAGTATCTGGTCGATTAGTAACCAATTGGCACATTTCGAAAATTATCGATTTTTATTTTCTCTGTTTTTATTGGTAGCTTCAAAATTCAGAATAACAAAAAATATTTTTTTGTAGGGAAACCGGTCCTGCCATCTAGTAGTCTTAGTCCATAAACGTCTTAGGTTGATCTACTTTAAAAATATATATATGCAAGGTTGGGAGTTTACAGAGAATAGAGTTTTTTAAAAAGCATTGTATTTAATTTCTATATTCATAGTTCAATTTTAATAGAACTACAGTTTAAAAAATTAAACTAATAGTTCTCTTAAAGCTTGACATTGCGATTGACATTGTAAAAAGAAATTAATATTAAAATTATTAATTATTAATATGTAACTTACCATTTGCCAGCTTCATCTCCTGTAACGACAAAAGCGAAAACTGCCTGGGTTTTAGCAACGGAATCGGACGATAAATTCGTTCCTATCGTTTTAAACAATTTGGCAACCTCGCCTACTGGCTCTGCGGCAGCTGGTTTGTCAGAGAACGCAGTCTGTCCCAAAATGTTTTTACTAGTGACGTTGTCTAAAAAGGCATCAGGTAGTAGACTGTCAATGTTGGCTGGATCCACCGCGTATTGGACCATATCTGTGACACCCTCTTTTTGAAGCACCTAGAAAAAATTATAGAGAAATATAATACAAACTACAAAATGGTCCTTAAAGTATTTTTCTTTTTTTTTTCTTGTTAATGATCTACAAAAACTAAAACACCTAGTATACTTTCTACACCTGTAACAGTGTTACAGATAAAGAAAGAAAACTGGAACTACAGTTTTCGAAAAGCAGACATTCCAAAGAACTGTAATTTTCAACAGACTAATGCAACAGTTTTAACAGCTGATGTTAAACCATAATCCTTATAAAACTGAATTTTTTCTTTGGAAACTGTAATCCCAGTAAAACAACAGTTTTTGGGAGTCTTAAAAACAGTATTTCTAACAGAACTACAGTTTCAATAATACAAGTTTTCAACTTTTTATGAAAAAATTGCATTACAAACTGTAGTTCTAAAAGATTTTTAATTTTTTGGAAAATTTCAGGCCATAAAAGAAAGATCACTTACCTCACCGTCAATTAAAAAGTTAACCATTTGTAATTTTCAATAGACAAATGACAGAGTTTAACCTGCTGGTTTTAATAGAAGAAACGACAATTCTACCAAAACTGTAGTTTTTTTTAGAAATTGTAGTCCAAGTAAAACAACAGTTTTTAGGAGTCTTAAAAACAGTATTTTTAACAAAACTGCAGTTTCAATAAGATAATTTTCAACTTTTTATGCAAAAAATTGCACTACAAAGTGTAAAACACTGTAGTTCTAAAATATTTTAAATTTTTTGGAAAATTTAATTTGATTTAGGTGAAATTTGACTTTAGCATTAATTCAAACCGTAAAAGAAACATCATTTAGCTCATCATGATTAAGTTAATTATTGTAATTTTCAATAGACAAATGCTACAGTTTAACTGCTGGTTTTAATAGAAGAAACCACAATTCTAACGAAACTGTAGTTTTCCTTTTAGAAATTGTAGTTTCAATAAAACAACAGTTGAGTTTTAAAAACAGTAGTTCTAACAGAACTGTAGTTTCAATAAGATAAATTACGAACTGTAAAAAACTGTAGTTCTAACAGATTTTATTTTTTTGGAAAATTTAGATTGATTTACGTGAAATTCGACTTTGGCATTAAGTCAAACCATAAACAAACACCACTTAGCTCATCATCAATGAATAAGTTAAGCATTTGTAATTTTCAATAGACATGCTACAGTTTAACTGTTGATTTTAATAGAAGAAACCACAATTGTAACAAAATTGTAGTTTTTCTATTGGAAACTGTAGTTCCAGTAAAACAACAGGTTTTAGGAGTCTTAAAAACAGTAGTCTAACCAAAGTAGTTTCAATAAGAAAAATTTTCAAATGTTTATGCAAAAAATTGCACTACAAACTGTAAAAACACTGTAGTTATAAAATATTTGTAATTTTTTGGAAAATTTAAATTGATTTAGGTGAAATTTGGCTTTGGTATTAATTCAAACCATCAAAGAAACATCACTTAGCTCATCAGCAATGACTAAGTGAATTATTTGTAGTTTTGAAAAGACAAATGCCACAGTTTAACCTGCTGGTTTTAATAGAAGAAACCACAATTATAACAAAACTGTAGTTTCTCTTTTAGAAATTGTAGTTTCAATAAATCAACAGTTGACTCTTAAAAACAGTACTTCTAACAGAACTGCTCTTTCAATAAGATACATTTTCAAATTTTTACACAAAAAATTGCACTACGAACTGTAAAAAACTGTAGTTCTAACAGATTTTAATTTTTTGGAAAATTTAGATTGATTTACCTGAAATTCGACTTTGACATTAATTCAAACCATAAACAAACACCACTTAGCTCATCATCAATGAATAAGTTAAGCATTTGTAATTTTCAATAGACATGCTACAGTTTCACTGTTGATTTTAATAGAAGAAACCACAATTGTAACAAAATTGTAGTTTTTCTATTGGAAACTGTAGTTCCAATAAAACAACAGGGTTTAGGAGTCTTAAAAACAGTATTTCTAACCAAAGTAGTTTCAATAAGAAAAATTTTCAAATGTTTATGCAAAAAATTGCACTACAAACTGTAAAAACACTGTAGTTATAAAATATTTGTAATTTTTTGGAAAATTTAAATTGATTTAGGTGAAATTTGGCTTTGGTATTAATTCAAACCAGGGTTGGAAAAAATCATGATTTAAAAAAAAATAAAAAAATTCAGATTTTATTTATGTAAATCAGATTTTTTTGATTTTAATTTAAAACAATATTTAAATCGGATTTCCAAATGACTAGGACTTATTTCCAATTAAAGTCTTATCCTAAATAGCTAAATCTTTATAACTCTGCCTGACACAGCAGCGTTTTTTATTGCTTTTATTATTTGAAGTAGTTGAAGTTGTTGGCATTTTGAAAAAATTAAACGATAAAAAACGCTCATAAGACTATCAAAATGTTGATCTAATAACAATTTGACGTTTATACTATTACGTCAAAAGCAACTTTTTTCCAAAGCATACCATGACTTCACTGAATCATCGTTTCTTGTCCACTGTTATTAATATCTTAATTATTAGATATTAATACCTCTGGTATTATGGTATTCTGGTATTTCGTCGATTTTATAATAAACTAACTGTTTCTATCTTATTTTTTGTTAGAATGGGCCTAAACAAGAGGACTACTGATACCGTGTTCTAAAAATAAGGTAATTAAAGGCTTATTTTTGGTATTTATTATAATTTTGCTAATTATCTTCGGTTTGAAAGAAGATATCAAGATGCGGTTTTCGCTGACTTTTTAAGCTTTTACTACTCTTTCCGATCAGCTAAAATTACATATACTACTGCATTTAATTTTTTTGAAAAAACGCGCAATGTTTGTTAAATTGTAAGACAACGCCCCCTAGCGTCTACGTGCAAAATCTTATTATTATTGTTTATATGGTATAATATAGAGTAAGAAACGCTCTTTTAAACGAGCCCTCGCTTGTTGGATTCCGATCATCCAGTCCAGAGTTATTAATATTTAAATAAAAACAGATCTAACCTTCCCCCACCACTTTATTTTGGTAGATAGGGGAAAATAGCTCTAACAAAAATTATTCAAAATTTACTGAAGATTAAGAAGCTATTATTTATAGTACACCTTATCTAGGCAAAATTGTGTAAAAACTCCATTTTCTTATTTTTTGTTGCAGTTGGGGCCCCTAGCGGTCATTCTACAAACTTGGAGATAATTTCCAGCAATTTCTCATAGCCTCTTTAGTTATAAATATTTTTTTCCGCAGCCCCTACGGCTAATACTTTCCGAGATACAGCCGAGAGCTATTCTTAGTGGGACACCCTGTACAAATTGTTGCTCGATTACTGTTCATATTATTTGCATTATGTTTGAAATTAATTAAAAAAATATTTGTAATGATTTAAAAGAAATAGAGTATGTTCTATTCGGAGTAAAAAGTACTTTTTGTACCTCCCTGTAACATCGGAATAGCTTTACGATGGTCCTGCAAAGGTACAGCAACCTCAAAAAAAGTATAATTTTTACTCCTAATAAAACAATATACTATTGTTCGGAAATAGTCTTGTCGGGAATGAAATTAGTATGTATTATCTAAGTGTAAAGTACTTACTGCAGAATTAGAAATCAAAATTATATATATTACTTTGTATTACTATTTAAAAATAATATTTGCTTTTACTGGCATTTACTTTAAAAAATAAATGAAATATTTCTTCTCAAAAAACTATATGTAAGAGAATTAGCATAAACAAAATACAAATATCGTTAACTTTTTTTTAAATTGGCACGTATAAAACTTTAATCAATCAATTTAATTTTCTCATCCCAAAATTTGAGTTCGATAACCACATTTACTAAACCACATTACTTAAATATGATTATTAAGTTCAACTAATTCATATTATTACATCTAAAATACAAATACCTATGTATTTTTAAAATTAATTGTAAGTTCACCTCACCTCTCTTAAAAATTGCTACTTAAAAAAATAGACCATATACCATATAAAATTAAATAATTGAAAGATCTGGCAATGGAAAATCACACAAATTTTCGGAAAAATTTTGACCACCTGCACACGCCACACAATCGTCAATTTAAAAAAAAAACACTATTATTTCAGTATTTTAAATATTTTAATAAACGCAAAAATAGCACAGTATTTAGAAGGCGAAGTTATAAAAATTTGGAAGAACTAATAATGCACTGACGCACACAAAAATCAAACGAATACTAAATTTCATTTATCAAAAACATTCGATAGTCGTGGCTCAACGATAACCATTAAGTCGCACGGCGAGGTTGTCACATATGCTTTAGTATACAAATGAATGAATGACTTTATTCGAATAAAACCATTCGATAGTTGAAATCATTCATTCAGTAACCATTCGATAGTCTAATTCATTCGATAGTTCCCATCGCTAATAAAGACAGATCACTTACCTCATCATCAATGAAAAAGTTACCAGTCACTGCTTTAGGGTCTTTAGTGATAATAGCATAGGCTGCGTCAGCACAAATTTCCGGTTTGCGACAATACTTTCCTGTTTCTGCGCCAGCAATCAAATCGATTGCTGCAGTCTTGATAGCTAAAACACCCATACTCCATCACATACATCAACTAATTTTGCTAATAATTACCGTATCTGGGCCATAACGCGTTCACGGCAATATTGAACGGTTTGAACTCTTCGTGCATGCCTAGGACGCACATGGACATTCCGTATTTTGCCATGGTGTAGGCCACGTGATTTTTGAACCACTGCGGGTTCAAATTTAAAGGTGGCGAGAGGTTCAGGATATGGGCGTGATTGCTTTTCTTTAAATATGGTAAACATTCCTTAGACCTATTTACAAAAAAAAAGAAAATAAAACGTTTTATACAGGGTGACGCATCCCATTCGCCTCGGTTGATTTTAAGAAAAAGGAAAGATGTAGAAACAAAATATTTATGGGTATATGTGTTAAGGCAAAATGCATAATTTAAAATTATTTTGAAATCTACAGGGTGCGTCAGAACTAAGATCCATACCAAAGTTATATTTTTTCTTATGGAACACCCTGTATTTTATTTAATTTTTGGGTTCTTGGACATAAAATAAGACATTTATTATAAGGGTTTAATATGTTTAAAAGCTTTGGTTTTTGACATATTTAAATATGCATGCTATAACAAAAAAGTTTGTCAACACCTTGTACATTACTTTTCAGAATTAATTCTTGTGCTGACTTTCAAGCTAGAGAAATAAACTTTTACTAAAAAAAATGTATTGCTTCCTTAAATGTATACAGGGGTATCAAAAATTGCTGGTCTATTTTAAATATTTATTTTATATAAAAACTTGGTTATTTCAAATACAACACTATGTATTTTTTTTGAATAAGTCAAAGCAGATTTAAATGCTCTTTCAAACTATATTAGGGTTTCCTATACCTATCTGGCTCAGATTTTGAATAAAAAGCGTTTTTTGAATAAAATTGTAATCAAGATGGCTGGTGTCGCCATGGCATTTTTTTATGAACTTTATTTAAATTTATAACAGATTATTTTTATTTAATTTACCTACAACAAGGTTAATAAGTAAGTATTTATTATTTTATCAAGAAAAATAATAGTGTGATAGAATAGTGTGGTGTGTACATAGTATATGAAAACCCTATTACGCAGAAACCTGTCGTTGGAAGTGAAGAAAATGAATTTCTCTTAATTGGCTCTTTTATAGAAAATCCAATATATCTACAAGTCATCGTAATATAAATCAAAGAACTACTTCTTTATTTTTCTTGATAAAATAATAAATATACTTACTTATTAAACTATTGTAGACATAGACTTAAAATAAAATATAGACTGAGCATCTCATTCATAAATAGCTGGAACATGCGGTCAGACAATGTCTTGTTATTTTTGTGTTATTGTTTTAGACTCTAACAAGTGCGACACGAGCGATAGATAAGTTGTCTCCGTCGTAACGGTCGTTCTCTGACTACTCTGACGAAGAATGCAGCACTGTCTTTCGTTCCTCAGTACACCTGAACTCTCCGTACCATAGCCGGGTAATTTTTTTATTTTAATGAAGCTATAATTCAATTAAAAATATATCGTATTTAACTTTTTTATATTTTATTACGATTTAGAAGAAGTTTTTTAAATAAAAGTTTAGAAAAAACGTCCAAAAACGATAAAAATAATAAAATACATGTTATAGAAAAAAATTTAATAATCGAAATTACGTATTTAATTTTTGAAATTAATAATTTATCACTAGTCAAACATTATCTAAAAATCAAAACAGGAACTATTCTATAGATATAATAGAATCGGCGACATGGAAAGGAGAAAAAACTTCAAGATTGTTGTAATTTTTTTTTCTGGTAAGTGATGTCTTATTATGTAAATTAGGGAAAACAAAAATCTGTTCCTTTAAAGCATGCTTTTAGGAAGTGGATAAAATGAAGACTACATTTATTTAACTCGCTACTGTCTTTATTATACCGGCTGCGTCCCAAAAGTGGCTCACCTCCATAATTTTTTTATTTTTTCAAATAAAAAAACAAGATTTGGTATGTTAGTATATGACATAAATTGTTTTTGGTTACTTCCTGTTTCACCGGAAATGACTATAACTTCTGATTTTTAAATGGCACCCTAGGTATATCTTTACTTTATTCGATAGAAAATGACACTCTGAATAGAATGACATATCATATATCAACTTTTGACATTTTCTCATATGGTTTAATTGAAATTATAACACGCGGTTCATAACGACATTCGAAATTTTCTAATGAGTCACCCTTGTTCCATTTGAAAAAAATTGACATATGATTAAAAATACGATTTGTGCATCTAATTTAACCGGCCTAGACATGACACGAAACTACACATTAGACGATCAAAACAATCATGGCACCCTGGATTGAAATTTAAAATACGATTTGTTTTTATCCGACAATACCAAAAGTTGACATATGATATGTCATTCTATTAATAATAATTAAAAATAATTAATTTATGTCATATACTAACATACAAATCTGTTTTTGTTTATCTGAAAAAATAGAAAAGTCATAGGGGGCCACTTTTGCGACGCACCCGGTATATTAAAAAATAATGTTTCATAATGTAATATCATTTTAAAATTCTTGTATGTTATTTTAGATTCTGAAGATAGTTTTAGAATAAACCGGAATATATTTTTAATAAAAACATTATTAATTTTTTAACCGATGCCTAATATCATTTATCTTGTATAATAACAGGGTTATAATTATGATTTTGTTACAAAAACTTTTATATAAATGATTATGTAATAGAAAAAATTGAGATTTTACATTTTACTAAAATATTATATAAATAAGCGCCTTTCTACAACAACGCCACTGGCTCCCAATTGGTAAATTGAGAGTTGCCTACCGGTCGAAAGTCGCTTCGAGACTCAAATGGATTATTTAAGTCAAATTTCTTGCAAATTTGACACTGATGAACCATATTTTATAGTTGTTGAATACAAAAAAATAAATAAAATAAACATTTAAGGACTACAAACTAAGAAAATGCAATAATACAACCAGAAAGAAGTAGCGGCAACAATGCTTTACTACACACGTGCGACGCGTACTACAAGTTAATAGATGAATGAACAGGCGACCTCGCCGCTAATCGGTGTTGTTATATTGTAAAGGATTTATCCTTTTTACATAGTATTCGACTTATAATTAAGTAGTATAAGGACTATTTAATACATCTATGGAATATTAAAACCTACTTTATTAAAGTGCAATATTAATATCTCAATATATGTGTATAATAAGTAAAAAAATATTGATAATATTAAAGACGTGACAACATAGGCTGGACGAGGAAGGTTTGGTCGGCTGCGGTCGAGTGTACCCAGAAGTAAACATGTGTACAAAAATGATTATTTGACCGCGTTCATATGTAAATAGTGTAGTCTATATTTTATTTTAAGTCTATGATTGTAGATAAATTAAATAAAAATAAACTGTTATAAATTTAAATAAGGTCCATAAACTAATGTCGATTTTGAAAATAGTTACTTAACTGTCACTAGCAACTTGCCATGGCAACACAAGCCATCATGATGGCCATTTTATTGAAAAATCGCGTTTTATTCAAAATCTGAGCCAGATAGGTATAGAAAACCCTAATATAGTTTGAAAGAGCATTTAAATCTGCTTCGACTTATTTAAAAAAATATATAGTTGTATTTGAAATAACGCGAAGTTATTATGTAAAAGAAATATTTAAAATAGACTAGCAATTTTTGATACCCCTGTATACATTTACGGAAGCAATACATTTTGTTAGTAAAGTTTATTTCTCTGGATTCTAAGTCAGCACAAGAACTAACTCTGAAAAGTAATGTACAGGGTGTTGACAAACTTTTTTTTATTAAAGCATGCATATTTAAAAATCTTTAAATATCTCAAAAACTAAAGCTTTTAAACATATTAAACCCTTACGATAAATGCCTTATTTTATGCCCAAGAGTCCAAAAATGATATAAAATACCGGGTGTTCCATAAGACAAAATATATAACTTTGGTAAGGATCTTAGTTCTGACACCCTGTACACTTCAAAATAATTTTAAATTATGCACATTACCTCTCTACATATACCCATAAAATATTTTGTTTCTACATCTTTCCGTTTTCGTATAATCAACCGAGGTGAATGAGGTGGGCCACCCTGTATTTAAAAATGTGTTTATTTTTTAAAGTTTGATAGAGGTAAATTGTGTCCAATGAACTTATTTTGATTCAAAAAATACGTAGTGACACCCTGTATAACCAACCCCTGAGCATATTCTGTATAATATTTATACCAAATTATACTTACACTAAAAACGTTCCTCTAGTATTAATATTATTCATCAGGTCATATCGTTTCATATCAGTCTCAGCAGTTCCAGTCAAAGATATAGCGGATGCGTTGTTGATAAGAATATCGATACCGCCGAACTTGTTCACCGCATCCTGTATCGCTTTTTTCACTTGGCCCTCATCCCTAATATCGACTATACAGGGCAACGATTTTCCGCCAGCCTTCTCAACTATAGCACAGGAATTTATTAAAAATTATAAATCTCTTTATAGGTAAAAATTTTGTTATTTCTATTAAAAACTGTAGTTCTAATAGAAAAATACCCTTATAGAATATCACATAATTATATCTGATTTAAAATACTGAGTTTCTAAGAAGATGTACTTATGTACATTTTGTAGATTCACAGTTTTATTTTATTAGAACTACAGATTTTAATTGAAAAATTTATAACTACTACAGTTATATTTGTATAACTGTAGTTGTTACGCATATACAGGGTGGTCCGAACTGTATTCCGGGAACTTCGTCAGCATATTCTACAGATAAAAATAAGTAAAAAAGTTCGTATAAATGTATGTCTCAAAATGCTTAGTTTTGGAGAAACAGGGTGAAGAAGTTTCATTTTTATTTCGAGTTTTTCCAAATAATTTCTGAAGTAACGTCAATATTTGGATGAAAATTGGTATCTGGTTGTTTTTTGACATGAGAAATTTTATTTTGATGTCATTATGACTCCTACTTGTAGAAGGCGCCACCTACATATTTTTAAACTGGTTTGAAGACTAATAACTTTTCGTCCGTACCTGTATAAAACTACTAAGTAAAAAAATAAACATTTACGACGTTTTTTACGTAAAAAAGATCTCTTGAGAAAAATCGCTACAAGTAATGGTTCTGGAGATATTTGGAATCTAAATTATTAATACCTGTCATCATTGACATAAACATGTTGACTAAATAGTTATTAGACTGAAATCATAAATTTGAAATGTTTTTGCGCCGAAAGTTCAACAGAAACTGTTTTATCATCATTTTTTTGAAGAAAAATTTATAATTAATTTAAAACAATAAAAAGTTCCCGAATTTATCATTCCAGTCAAATAACTATTCCTTAACAAGGAAAGAGAGGGGACAGGTAACACGGATAAGATCTAAGTAACACGGCAGCTGAAAGTGAGGCCACTTGTCACCACTCGAAATTCTCCAATGGCGTAGCATCAGAAATTAGCTTGTACCTAGACGATAAAAAATATTTATTAAAACGTTAACTAATATATCGTTTATTTTTGAGTAATGCATATACAATTTTGTATTTTATAGTATCACCTTTATAATATTAGAATATCTAAGCTGATAATGCAAAATTTATTTAACAGTCACTGTAAACTGATCATCAAGACAATTATTTATTGATTAACGTGTGTATAATGTATAATTAAATAAAAAATAATGTAAATATATATGTTTTAAACGTGTATACAGTACGTCTGTCCGTTCTGGGGCTACGGGGTATCCGTGAGAGGGGAAACGATATTCTCTCGATGTTTTTCGTAAAAAATTAGACGACGCGTCCCATCAATAAAAATTCGACAAATTTGCAAGTAGCCAATAAAATGAGTGGGCGGAGCGATTTGCGGTGACGTACTCGTCAAGTCGACGTATAAAATATATTGCTGTTTATTTAGATGTTTTTTGTCCGCATTCCTTTCATAGACACAGATCCAACAGACGAACTGTATACATATTATACTGTATGTTTGAAAAACAACGGCATCCTGTTTGGGTGGAAATGACGATCGATGACATTCCCCATATAATTCTACATATAAAATGACATAAAAACTATATAAAATGACCGAAAAAATAGTGAGAGGAATGTCATCGACAGTCATTTACAAGCCAACTGGACGCCGTTTTTTTTCGATCATACAGTTTAATAATGAATCTAGCCAATCCCCTTCGCACTTGCCTACGGATTCAATGAATAATGTAATTTTTAATATTTCTTACCTTCAATCATAAGAATATCCTAATTTTCCGCAAAAAAATAAACTATTTTATTTATTTATTTTTAAATTTTTATTAATTACTCACTGAAACTATTATTATACACCTAAACTAGCAAATTTTTGAAAGGATATATAAAAAAATATTATAAGTATCCCACCACAAGTTTGTCCACCCCCAGCAAAACTTGGCAGGTTCATGTTTTTTTTTATAGTTTACAATTATTATTTTACATATTTGATAACAATACTTTATACATTTTTTTACATGTAAAATATATAAAAAAAATGTTTATTGCAGAAATTGTATTTCTCTGATTATAATGCCCTACGCCACTGGGGAAATCCTGTCTCAGTAGCATTATTTATAGTTTCAAACATTAATTATAATATAGGATATTGAAAATACTACTTGGAATTAATAAAAATAGTTTGCTTTGGATGTGGTACAAGACATATTAAAAGCATTTTACCTATTTTTACTGCTATAATGAAAAAAATGTACATTTTATAACTACATAGCACAAGTTGTGTATCAACTTTTACCTGTAAAATGTAATTCCAGTCATTTTTTTCTCGCTTCAGCCTTTGCAGCCATACGCCGAACATCTCACCATACTAAACAACACAGTTTATAAATTTAAAACAAAACAGTATTCACAAAAAACATAAAAATTCGCTTGGTGTCACCTCGAAATCTTGTCACCAAAGTATGGCTGTCCCCTCTCTTTCCTTGTCTAAGAACTATTCACTCAGCGTGTTTATTTTTTGTCAATAATAACATGTATTACCTATTTCCATTCTAAATATCTTGAGAACGGTTGCTCATGGCGATTTTTACCAAGAGACATTTTTTACGTAAAAAATCACGGAAATGTATATTTTTTCACTCAGTAGTTTTATACAGGTACGGTCGAAAAGTTATTCCTCTTCAAAAGAGTTAAAACACATGTAAGTGGCGCACCCCTACAAATAGGAGTCATATTGACATCAATATAAAACTTCTTATGTCAAAAAACTCCCAGACACTAATATTCATCCAAACATTGACGTTACTTCGGAAATTACTTGAAAAAAATCGAAATAAAAATGAAACTTCTACACCCTGTATCTCCGAAACTAAGCATTTTAGGGCATACATTCATACAAACTTTTTTACTTATTTTTATCTGGAAAATATGCTGCCGAAATTTCCCAATAAAATTGTTGCTATATAAAATTACAGTTTTTTTTAGAAAATAATGAGTTGATAGATAATTCTGTAGTTCTATTAGAATTTCTATTTTAATACTTTTATTTCAATAGAATTACAATGACAAAAAAAAACTATAGTAAAGTTTGACTGCTAAAAATACTGTAATTCTAGAAGAACTTCAGTTATTGTTTTAATAATAAAAAAATTTCTATTTTTATAGTTTTATTTTATTATAACTACAGTTTTTAATAGAAAAATTATAACAACTACAGTTATATTATATTTTTTCTAAATAATTATCAAGAATTTTACAGCACTAATAGGTAATAAAAAATTAACTAAATATGGTAATTTAATTATCCTTGGTAGGGGTATTAAATAAAATCATTTACAAGGCTAACATATGCAAAATGAACTTGTACCAAGCCCAAACAAGAAGAAAAATATGAAAAATCAGCCCCAGTAAACATACCAACACTAATAAGCTTAAACTTAATAGATTAATGTTAAAAACTAATATTATTCAAGAAAAAATACCTTCTTCAGCAGCAGAATATACTGTCCCAGGCAGTTTTGGATGTGGTTCTGCCGTTTTAGCGGCGATAACAACATTAGCCCCATCCTTGGCCGCCTTGAGGGCAATTGCCTTGCCGATGCCCCTACTAGCTCCTGTAATGAATACTGTTCGACCAGCTAACTTCCTAAATTAACAAACAAACAAAAAAACACACTTCTATATCAGTTAATTATTCGTTATATTCCATCAAAATATTTTTGCTAAATGTGACACACTTAATGATTTTCTAATGATTCATATTAACTGTTCAAGGCATAATTTAAATTTAGGAGCACGAAAAATAACAAACTAACAGATCATTAATTCAGAAATGTATAATGAATTCAAAATAACGCTACTTACCCAGTGTTAATCATTTTCGGAATACTGATGAAAGTAATATTAATTTGGGAAAAAATGTATATAATATAACGTTTGGCGACAGAAAAGGAGTATCTAATCTAATTTAAATGGGAGTATTTAGACTTTATCCTGGAATAATGTAAACACAAATCAAAGTCCAAAGTTCTAAAAGCTACTGCAAAAAATATGTAAAATAAAAATAAAACCTAGGTGCTGTTTGGTGAGTTGGTGACGTTTGTTGTTGAGTAGGTTAAGTAAAAAAATGCGAGGAATGGGAGCGACTATCGTGATTTTTCTTAATAAATTTGAGTTATCGATATTTTCATTAGTAAGGAAAATTTTCTTTTATTACTATATAGGCAACCAGAAAAACACAACTTGGTTTTTCATATTTATTTTTACACTGGCTAGACTATTTTACTCATTATATTCAGTAGTATAATTGATTTTGGAGTTCTGTTAATTCTAAATAACCCTTATAGCTTAATTAGGCTTAAAAATAGTTTTTATCATGTTTTTATATTCTTTTTAAATCACGTGTCATTTGGCAACGTGGTACGATTGTCTTTGTTGATATTTTGATTTAAGTCAGCTGACGAGGTGATTTTAAAATGTGACAAAATTAAATAACAACTAGTTACAATATTTAATTAAATAGTTTAGTAAAATATGGACGAAATACGGTATGGTCCTCCGTTAAAACTATACGATTTATGTATAAACGCCGCGATTGTGGATTCGACGCCAGCATGTATTTTGTGGAGCAAGGATTTTAGACTACTGCCATCCACAACTCTCTTGGATTTTTATGAAAGGGTAAGAAAGGACTTTTGTTTTTTTTTGTTTGTATCTACTATAAATATCACTCCTTTTACTTTCAGCTATTCCAAGAAAGAAGGTTATGTGTTCTAACGATAGAATTTAAAGAATTAGACGTATTCTCTCGATTACTGCACGTTAAAGGCAAAAGATCATTCCTTTTAAGATGCTACCAAACAATATTAAATCACGGCTCAAATATTTCCACAACTTTAGTAAATACCTTTACGCAATACATCAAGTTACAAAGCAGACCCGACAAAATCCTCATCGATATGGGATTGAGAATAGGTAGTTTCCTATGCGACGGTGGATGGTTTGTTTACAGTCTTATATTTCTAACTCTCACTGCCACTTTAATTTTAAAACTAGAGGAATCTAAGGAGATGCTTAAGAATCTTTTAGAATGTTATAAGTTGTAAGTATGCCTGTTAATTTTTTGTCCGTATAAGAAACAGGTTACTGTTCAATGTATTTGAAGGAAAATCTATGCAGAATCCCTTTACTGTAAGTTCAATACAGCCAAGTCGACGATGAAAGCTGCCCAGGATGTTGTGAAAAAGCTGGAGGACTTGGAATCGGTTCCTAATTTAGCAGTGCTCTATTCGAATTTTTCTGCGTTCTATTTTCTTTGCAGCGAATATGATGAGGTTTGTACTGATAGAATGTAGAGGTAGTAATATTCACTGAAGTAGTTGAAATGTATATTTGCGTTTTATTTTGTGCCACTTTTAATAGGCTTTTTAAACTTTTTTTTGACAGAAATAGGCAAATGAAAATCCTGACGTTTTTTACGTTTAAAAATACAGTTTTTTATGCTGTAGGTTTTTAATAAGAGTTTAGTAAAACTACTTTAAAAACGCTAATAGGTAACTATTAATAACAATTGTAAAAGAGGTATTTTATTTTATTTCACTATGTTGGATCATTTTATTTATGATATACAGGGTGGTCCGAACTATATTCCGGAAACTTGGGCAGCAAATAAAAATAAGTAAAAAAGTTTGTACAAATGCATGTCCTGAAATGCTTTGTTTCGGAGATACAGGGTGTAGAAGTTTCATTTTTATTTCGATTTTTTTCAAGTAATTTCCGAAGTAACGTCAATGTTTGGATGAATATTAGTGTCTGGGACACAGAACAGGTCTGGGAGTTTTTTGACATAAGAAGTTTTATATTGATGTCAATATGACTCCTATTTGTAGGGGTGCGCCACTTACATGTGTTTTAACTCTTTTGAAGAGGAATAACTTTTCGACCGTACCTGTATAAAACTACTGAGTGAAAAAATATACATTTCCGTAATTTTTTTGCGTAAAAAATGTCTCTTGGTAAAAATCGCCATGAGCAACCGTTCTCAAGATATTTAGAATGGAAATAGGTAATACATGTTATTATTGACAAAAAATAAACACGTTGAGTGAATAGTTCTTAGACAAGGAAACGTATTGAAGTAACGTCAATATCTGGATGAAAATTGGTGTCTGGGGGTTTTTTGACATAAGAAATTTGATTTTAACTCCTACTTACTTTTTTACTCAGTAGTTTTGTACAGATACTGATGAAACTTCTATACCCTGTATCTCCGAAACTAAGCATTTCAGGACATGCATTTGTACAAACTTTTTTACTTATTTTTATTTGCAAAATATACTGCCAAAGTTTCCGGAGTATAGTTTGGACCACCCTGTATATTGATATTTTTTGTGGAAATTGAAATTTAATGTGAAAAATTACAAAAATAGTATATGTTGAGAAGAAAGAATTATTTGTTTTTCGTCAAATTTTTACGTTTTTTTTATGTTTTTTTTTAACATCTTTTTTATCATGTAACCATTAAATGAAACTTGTGAAATATGTTTGAAATGAAAAATTTATGATTATTTTATCCACTTCACACTAATATACAGGGTGACCTATTTAAAACATATAGTTGATATCAATATTTGCCAGCAATATTTGACATTTTATATCATTATTAAAATCTATACCTACTATTTGAAGGACCCTACAATTTTATTTTAAACGAATGTTCTAGCCTGCTAAAGAGAAACTAAAGCCTGTTTAAAATAGGGACAAAATAAAATAACAACACTGTGCAGCGTTAGCCACCATTTTCAAAAAGGTCCATATCATATTTTGAGACTTTTAATGCAATCTTTATAAAATATTTGGACCATAGTGTCAACACACATTTTATAATCAAACAAAACTAAATAATAAAAAAATACTAGAAGAATTGATCTTAATTTTAAAATTTAAAATCAGATATGTAATCAACCTTTGAATAAGAAGACTAAGGAAGGAGCATATCAAAAATCTTAGGTCCACCGCGATGGAACTCAAATATGGCCGACTTAAATTCCGGTTTATCAGTGCCGTTCTAATTTTATTTAAAAAATGTAAAACTATGATGTAGGGTAGACGTGGGGTAGACTCAATAATTTTTTTTTTATTTTACGTTGTGAATAAATGTTGGTAGTTATTAAAATTGTTATAAAAACATATTATTATAATAAAAATAGATAAGTTTTAATAATTATTTATTAACACAAATATCCGATACGCTACTGAAGCAGATAAGTTAAATTGACGTATCTAAATTCTTTGACAACTAATCTTTGACAAGTAGTAAATAAAAGCAAAAATGCAAGAAAAAATATATAATTAGTTAATTTAAGTTTTACTACACATATGTATATTATATAGTCACATACTAGCGAAAAGTTGTTCCATTAGTTCACTCGATTTTTGCCGAGATCTACCGCACGCTACACAATAAACTATTTTAGACTCTTTTTCGATAAATCGCGATAGTGTCACTGTTAATTTAAGTTCTACCACAATTTCTATCTAGATTTACTACCTTTATACAACTATCAGTAGTAGAATAAATAATAAATAACATAAAATAAGCTCCATAAAGACTGACAAATCCACAAAATTTCAAATCAAATTCAAATGTGTCAAATGAATCGTCAAACAGAACTGTCAAGGATCCCCACTCTACAGTCCTTTTTCCGCCCACCATGCATGAATACATGGATAGCATTATGCTCCTTCCTTAGTCTACTTATTCAAAGTAATCAACAGATACGTTCACAGCTTTGTTTTTTACCTAAATTTAGTTCTTTTTTAAATTGATTTGATTATTTTTTTAACCTGTTGCAGTTTTTCTGTATTTTATTTTATTTTATTTATTTTTATTTATTTATTATTTTTTCTGTATTTTATTTAAAAAACAAAAAAAAACTTTAAAATTACAAATTTTAATAAAAAAAGAAAAAACTTTATTGTGTTGGTAAAATGTTAATTGTAGTTACTTATTACATCCCTTTGTATTAGCTTGATCCACGATGTTTATAAGATATTTAAGTGTTTTATAATGAAGATCTAAACGAAAATCTCGAATAAGCAACATCATATGGAGCATTTTTGAAATATTGGGTCCCTTGTAAATAATAAAATTTCACTTAAATTTAATTTTCTTTTTTAGTCATACAAATGGGCACAAAAATCTGTATCATTGTTAACAAACGATCTCCCGAAAAGGTATTTCGCTTTCCAGTTTATAGATAGACTCAAAATTATCATTTTTTAAACTATTTTAGGGATGTCATCGAAGTATTGAGACAAGCCTCGAAATCGTGCGTGGTGAAAAGAGAATTTCTTCAAAGCGGTCTGCTCATTCGTCAGGCCATGAACCTAGGCGAAATTCTGCACGGCAAGGACCAGTTGCCTACCTTCTCTAACGTGCTGGCCGACTACGGATTTTATCTGCTGTATTCGGACGCAATGGCGGAAAGTATGCAGGCGTACGAAAGAGCTTTGAATTATCGCTTGCATATTTTCGAGAGGAACAATATTTATATTGCGCTAGCCCACGAGGATTTCGCCTACGTCCTCTACGTTACCGAATATAGTTCTGGACGGTTTAAAACTGCCGAGTAAGTAATTTACTTATTTTTTTTATTTTGACTCTTAACTTCCTAAATTTATATATGATGATCATATATCATTTATATATGATGATCATATATAATTTATATATGATCGTCATATACTTTATATATGATGAGCATATATAATTTATATATTATGATCATATATAATTTATATATTATGATCATATATAATTTATATATGATGATTATATAACTTATATATGATGATCATATATAATTTATATATGATATTTTTTATGTATGACGATTGTAGATAAAATATATAAAATTTATATATGATATCATATATAATTTATATACAGGGTGTCCCAGGCTGAGCGTGCATTGGAAGTTTCTAGAGAACTACACAATCTAGATCGGAGTTTTTTTGCACATCATTGTTTCACAACGAGATCTATCGATTAAAAATTTATTCAATATGGCGGCACTTCCGGAAATACCGGAAGTTGACACCAACTATCTTATTTTAAATGGGTGCCTCCATTTTTTATTACATACTTAAATTCTCTGTAAAACTTTTTTTTATATTAAATTCTCTATACCTAACTTTAACCGTTTTTGAGAAAATAATATTTAAAATTTTTGGACGAAAAAAACCGCCTGTCAAAAATATTTGTATAGCCTAAACGTTAAATTTAGTGATAACCACAGACACTGAACTATAAAGAGAAGGCATGTGGCTATCTATTTCAAAAATTAAATTGTTCGAATATCATATAATAATGGCCGCAGATGTCATGGAATAATATAAAATATTGTCGTGCTAAATTCGTTTTTTATTATAGCGTGTCGTAAAATACAGACCACAGATATAAAGTGACCAGGGCTAGTATACTACTATAGTCTTCTAAATACCATGATGCAATATTTTTAAGATTATGACCGTCAAGAAGCTTATGAACACTATTTTTTTATGACGCACTCTTATAATTTGTGTCTGTCATTTTAGTTCGTAGATAATTTGTATTTTCTGTCGAAATCTTATGCGACTCGTTTACCGGGCACACTTTATAAATTAAAAACTCGTAAATATTTTGTAGGGAACACGCAGAAACATCTATATCCATGATGGAAAAACTCCTTCCCAAAGACCACTTAATGTTGGCCTCGGCCAAGCGTGTTAAAGCCCTGATTCTAGAGGAAATAGCCTTAGACGAAAGAACCGACGAGTTGAAGAAAGGTCTCCTTGAAGCCGCCGAAATGCTCCACATCGCAGCCTTGAAACTTAGTAGAGATAATTTCGGAGAAAAGAACGTCCAAACAGCCAAACACTACGGGAATTTAGGAAGGTTATACCAAAGCATGAGACAGTACGATGAGGCCGAAAAAATGCACCTTCGAGCTATTAAGATTAAGGAAGAACTCCTCGGTCCTGACGATTACGAAGTGGGGTTAAGTATAGGACATTTGGCATCGTTGTACAACTACCACATGAAGGAATACAAGGAAGCGGAGACACTGTACTTGAGATCGATAGATATCAACGTAAAACTGTTCGGCACGGCGTATTCAGGGTTAGAATACGATTACAGAGGCTTATCGCACGTTTACAACAAGCTGTCAGACCATCAAAAGTCAATAGAATACAACAGGAAGATGAGAGAATGGAAAAATCTTAGAGAGAAAGTCTCCACTGTGAAATACAAAGAACCTCTGTTATCTCCTGAAGAAATATCCACTAAATTCTTTGCTTTTGCTCGAAACGGAAACAAGAATTTTGACAAGAACGACAGATATGTCAGTAATAGTGAAACGGATAAAAACAGTCAGACTATATCGCAGAAAACTATGGAAAGTTTGAGTGATCTAACAAAAAATAGTCAAGTAAAAAGTGGAAGTGAATAATAATAAGAAATACGTAAAAAATGCTTTGATTTACAACAGGCTGTCCAATAATTTTAAGGTTAAAAAAAATGATTTTAAAAATAATAAACATTTCAGGCTCTTTTTATAACTGATAACTAAATGCGGTCGCTCAATTTCAGTGTTGATAATTTTTAACGCCTTATTTGTATTAATACGGTTTTTCCTTAAATCTACTGAAGAAACCGGAAAGCTGACAACGCTGCGACGTTCGTTTATTCCAGTTGAGCTCTGCTGTCAAACGTTCATTGCCTTCTCGATTTAAAAATAAATAATCTTTTGATCAGTTTATGTGCTATTTATAAATCTATTTATTTTTAATATATTAATGTCTTTGATGTATTCAAAAATTAACTTTTTTTTAAATATTTGTAATTAGTATTTTAATTATGTCAACAAAGAATTTAGGTGCTTTTAGATAATGTCTTGAAATGTAATTAATTAATTGTAAATAAATCAACTTATTTGTAGGTAAATGATTTTGTGAGAACTATTTTAGATACCTATTCGTTTAGAATTATTATTTATAATATAGGTTAATTTTAGTCAAATTCTTAGCTATGTAATACATTTTAAGAAACTATATTTTGATTTATTTTGTCCTTTTGAATTTCTTGATATTTGAATGTTTATTTATAAAAATCTTGTTTATATTTAGTTGTCTATAGCGATTAATTAACTTTTTCAATATTTTTATTCAAAAGAATAAAGGGATTTGGAGTTATGAAACTAAATTCTGATTTATTTCGTCTCTGTGAATTTTTATGAGACTTTGAAATATATAAATAAAGCAAGTATTTCGACAATTAAAAATTTTCTGTTGTGTATATTTAGTTGCCTATAGCAACGAATAAACAAAATTTGACAAAGTTGTCAAAAATATTTTATTCGAAATTTTCGAAAAACATCTCTAACCTAATTGTTTAAGGATGAGATTCTCCAGTTTGTTGTTATTTTTCTGTTTATTATTGACCGTATTTTATATTGTTGGTCTGTTAGTGTTTCTAACGGACCATGAACCAGGCAACAATTGCGAAATGACGTACATGTTCGAGTATCCTCAGTATGTGGTGAGTTTCTTGGCACCGACTATTCAATGACTCAAAAACTATAAATATATTAAGCCTGTATATGTCTGTTTTCTTTAGTTTTCTTGTTTCATACTAAACGTTTTTTCGATTTTTATAGAGGATATCTCAGGAAATTGACGAACAGTATGTAAAATATGGTCTGTATGCTTACGGAGAAGGTAGAACCACGAAGAAAGCTAGGAACATGTATTTTGATGGTATTCCTGTACTGTTTGTACCCGGGAACGCAGGATCATACAAGCAAGGTTTTTTAAACACATTTATGACCTAAAATATTGAAATATCGCATCAGTTTATTGAGTTTACTTATAATATTATATATATATTTTAGTAAGATCACTAGCTTCTGTCGCATTGAGAAAATCTCTAAACTCTGGCACACCTTATCACTTTGATTACTTTGCTGTTGACTTAAATGACGAATTCAGTGCTTTGTATGGCCCTATTTTATACGAACAGCTAATGTACGTAAACAGTTCAATAAGAACGATCTTGGAACTGTATAAAAATAAACCAAATGCACCTCAGAAAATTATTCTTATTGGACATTCAGTTGTAAGTGACTATATGAAGTGCTTGATTGAAAGACTTAACAGACTATTTTTCTTACGTAATAGGGTGGTGTAGTAGCAAGAAGAGCTATATCTTATCTTGAAGCAAATAAGCAAGACTTGGTATCAGTTCTTATCACTTTGGCAGCACCTCTGAAAAGGAACCCTCTGTATTTCGACAGATATGCAAGCAAATTTTATAAAAATATTTACTTAAAACATGAAACATACAGTACAATAAACATTGCTGGTGGATACAGCGACTTTTTAGTTCCATCCTATTTGACAAATATTGAAGAAAATAACACCTTAAATGTTGTGGTAAGTAAATAAATCTATTTTTAATGATTTTTTTATGATATATTTGTTATCAGGCTACTAATATACCATTATCATGGGTCGAATCCAACCATGTTCAAATTCTTTGGTGCAAGCAAACAGTTCTAGCTATCAACAGAGCATTGTTTGGTAGTGTTGATATAAAAACATCTCAAATTTCTTCAAACAGTACCTTTGTTCAACAAGTTTTTCACCATCATTTGGTTCATGTAAGTTGATATTAGCATATTTTTTATTAATTTCTAAACAAATGTTTAATGTTCTTTAGAATACTGGTACCAAATTAGAATTAGACCCAAAAGAATCCCTGGTAACAAAATTAGATTATAGAGGTGAATGGGTTGAAAGTATTTCGAAACAGTATACAGTAGATCTGAAGAAAGGGTTGAAACAGCCCCATTGGTATATGGTTGGGCTTACAACGCAGCACACCTACGAAATGTTGACAGTGTTGGCTATAAATTTGGAAGTGACCGATTGGATTTTTGCGTGCAGTGCTGCTTATCCAAGAGGACCCAGTAGAGTTTGGTAAGTAGTGTTAATGTGGTATTTTAAAGAAAGTTTAATATTAACAAAATATTTTCTAAGTGTTTTATTACTTTTTTTCTTGTTATTATTTGTTTAAATAGCGATGTGCATCGAGTAGTTCAAATGTACCTAGTGATGTAGTGTTCCAAAAAAGCTCTACATCAAGTTTTCTATTTTAGATTTTTAATCGTAATTTTTAGTAAACTATAAAAACTTACTAAATATTTTTGAATCTTATTTTTATTTTTTTATTCTTTGACATTGTAAGCAAATTACTCACAATGTAATTTGTATAATGTTTTGTATTCTCTTTTGTGTGTTTGTTTGTTTAATTTGTTTGTTTTAAACCATATTTGGTATGTTTGTATATGACATAAATTAAGATTGATTGACGTATTCAATTGTTTTTGGTCACTTCCTGTTTCACCGGAAATGACTACAACTTTTGATTTTTAAATGGCACCCTCGGTATATTTCTACTTTATTCGATAGAAAATGACACTCTGAGTAGAATGACATATCATATGTCAAATTTTGACATTTTCGCATTTTAAAAAATTGCATTTTAAATTTCAATCTAGAGTGCCATGACTATTAATGGCCAAACACTAATTTTTAATCAAGGAGCCTTGGAAAAATAGATTTAACCGTGTAATGTTTTGCGTGTTTTGTCCTGACCAGTTAAAAGATGTCCAAATCGTATTTTAATCATATTTTTTTCAAATTGAACAAGAGTGGCTCATTAGCATATTTGAAAAAGTCATTTTTTACGAATAATTTGGTACCACACACACAGTCAGATTGTTGTTATTAACCGCATTTTACAATTTCAAATAAACCTTATGCGAAAATGTCAAAAGTTGACATATGATATTATGTCATTTTATTCGGAGTGTCATATTCTATCCAATAAAGTAAAACAATACCGAGGGTGTTATTGAAAAATCAAAAGTTGTAGTAATTTCCGGTGAAACAGGTGAGCCACTTTTGAGACGCACCCGGTATACAGAGGTATTCAAATGTATTATTGTGCTAGAGTTGTAATTTTTTAAATTTAGTTTAAAATCTATACGGACTGGATTATCAAATGTAATTTTATATTGTTTTTATTCATTAAAATAGTAACGTGCATTGAGTAGTTCAAATGTATTGAGACCCAGTGTTCCAAAAAATCTCTATATCCGGTTTTCTAATTGAGATTTTTACTCTAATTTTTTATAACTTAATCAGGAAATAGTAACGCATATTTTAAAAATATTGTCACATATACAGAGTGATTCAAACATATTTTTTTACTAAAATTGTAGTTTTTTCAATGGAATGGCTGTATAGTTGTAATAAAATTCTTGTCTTGGTATATAAAATACAATTTTAATGGTTTTTATACATTTAAATAGTAATGCACATTGAGTAGTTCAAATGTACCGTGTAACCTGTTTGTACTAAAAATGCCCTATATCAGGTTTTAAATTTGAGATTTTACTCTAATTTTTCAAAATCTTATGTAGGAAGCACATTTTCAAAACTTTTTCATATATACAGAGTGGTTCAAATCCATTTTTTTTCCTTAAAATTGTATTTTTTTAATTATTGGAATACTTAGTCTAATTTTTCGTTGGTAGATTTGCTGTAAAATTTTCATTCCAAAAATACCGTAATGTCAAAATCTATACCGAGTGATTTTTTTATATAGATTTTGATAGGCTAAATTGCTATATACGTACTATACAGGGTGAGTCAAAATTAGATAAAATGAATTCTCTGATATTTCCAATAGAATAAGGCTCTTTATTTTATATCATAAATATGTGTATAAAATATAGATGCCCAAAATCAATGTTTAATGAGAAATTTTCGTTCTTTTTTATTTAAGGTCTTCGTCATTTTCAGTGAGTCGCTGAAAATTGCAGTTTATTTTTAAATTAAAGTGACAGATAACTGTAATTGTCATATATTCTTTCGCTGGATAAACTGTAGTGTAATTTCGTTGTAGTGTTGAAGGAGAGCATTTGACTCAGTATTCAGAAATAGCCGCAACAAGTAGATACAAAAGACGATTAGTGACTTTGAATTTGAACGAAATTAAAAGAAATCATTCAGAATATACGCACGTGGTATTCAAAGCTTTACCTACATCAGAACCTGTAAGTAGTAATGGATCTATTTAGATATAAATATCTTTTAATGTTTTTTACTTATTTTTTAATAACGTGTTTCAATAAGGTTAACCGTATGTTACTTTTATTTAGGTAGTTTTTCATGTAGACATATATAATTCCGCTGAAAGGCGCATGGAAGTAACCTTGCCCAAGTATTCCCTAAGGAAACACACAGTGATATGGCGCACTCCAGAAAAATCGGTTTACGTAGAGCTTATTTTTCCAGAACTTGATAATTTGCTTCAGTCTTACCATTTGTTCGTCCAGCCAGTGAGCTGTGCGAGTGAACAGCACCATGCCACAGCTACTTTGATTATTCCTTGGGCAAATGAAATGGTTTACGCACATTTTACGTAAGTAGAAGTCTATTTTGAATTGTTAATAATTGTATTAAAAAGTACCGCATGAGTGAATAAACTAGTGTCAAAGACGGCTGGATAATGACAATCGATGTTAATTTTGGCAAGGTCAAGCCATTGTAATTTATTTTTATATTGAGTAAAAATGATTTTGAAATAGTATAGTTTAAAATAAATTTTTAGTCTTTCTATAATTAGTGTTAATTTTTGACAAGTTTAATGCCAATTTTTAGTAAATGACATCTAGAGATAGGCGTTGCCAAAATTTTCATCGGTTGTCATTCCCTAGCTGTCTTTGACACCGTTTTTTTTTCGATCATACGGTATAAAGCAATGGTAAAACTTTATAGCGTCACTTTAATTATGTGATTTACTCTATAACTTTATTTTTTTTTGATAAATAACGATATTTTTGATAAATAACGATATACCCTCCAAGAACAGTTAACCTAATAGGACTGCTCATTCAGCCAAAAGTGTCTGCCAGGTGCATGCGAAAACTCCTCGCTTTGTGACGTCATTGTAGTCCTTGTCTTGGTTATTAGTCCTTATTCGGCAACCAATAATACACACACGTTCATTATTGGTTGCCGGATGCAAAAAGTTCATTATTTAGTTTATTTATTTACACCTTATATGTATGCAGTTTAGAAAATTAACTGTATAAATCATATTAAATACTCGGATAATGCATTTTTAAGAACAGCAGTTCCCAGCATCACCTTTTGCAGGCATTCTTTTTAGAGTACTTCCATATTTTGCTTTAAAATAATAAACAATATCGTAGGCACTTAGTAAACACTTTGTCACAATCCACAACACAAAATGAACGTATTTATACACTCTATAGCTCTAAAAACTTTAAAAACAGCTTTTTCACATTTAAAATTGACAAAATAATTAACGCAAAATTTCTCAGCTGTTATTTTTTATTATTATTATTTTTATAAGTTTACCATAGGCAACTAATAATACACCTTATCATGACAAGTACTACAATAACGTCACGACTGTCAGCTGAAGCGCGGGAAGAGGTAAACGTACGTCTTATGAGGATGAGCAATCCTATTAGTTTACCGTTCTTGGACACCCTCAGTATATTTTTACTTTATTCGATAGAATATTTAGAGTGTGAATAGAATGACATATCATATGTCAACTTTTGACATTTTCACATATGGTTTATTTGGAATTGTACCATACGGTTCATAACGACAATTTGACTTGAAATACCAAGTGTATGGTATCAAATTATTCTTAAAAAATGCTTTTTCTAAATATGGGCTAATGAGCCACCCTTGTTCCATTTGAAAAAATTGAGATATGATTAAAAATACGATATTATGTGCATTTTTTAACCAACCAGGAGAAGACACGAAAAACATTTTTCTACATAGTAAGCAATTTTCTATTTTTCCAAAACTGCTTGATTAAAAATTAGTGTTTTAACACAGTCATGGCACATATGGCATTGAAATTTAAAATGCAATTTTTTAAAAAGCGAAAATGTCAAAATTTGACATATGATATGTCATTCTATTCCGAGTGTCATTTTCTATCGAATAAAGTAGAAATATACCGAGGGTGCCATTTAAAAATCCAAAGTTGTAGTCATTTCCGGTTAAACAGGAAGTGACCAAAAACAATTGAATACGTCAATCGATCTTAATTTATGTCATATACATACAAACATACCAAATATCGTTCTTTTATCCAAAAAAATAAAAATTATGTGAGCCACTTTCGAACCGCACCCGGTATAGTAGGTGAGTTAAAGTCAGAATTATTTACAGGGAGACGTTAAAAAAGCCTTTTAATCTGAGGATACAAAACGTGAAACCACCCAACGCAACTCACGCGAAAGTTAGACTTATTTTGGAACCTTCATGCACGTATCAAATAAGGTAGGTTATATTCCTGAAAAAACTTTCAAAAATAATTAATTTAACATTTTTTTTTAAGCATAAAGCTAAATATGTTCGGAGTATTCAGCCATATAGCCAGATATTACTCTACGTTCATCATAACAAATGTGGCAGTAGTGTTTCTTTTGGCCTTTCAAAACCAAATATATCGTCTGGGCAAGACGGGTGCTATGCCGCTATTTTTTAGCTCTTTGTTGGAGATTGTCAAGTACAGTTGGCTAGTGATTGTATTGGCTGGTGTTTTGTCAATATTTTTAAGGTAAGAACGCAGTTTTTTGGGTAAAAATGCATCCTTGCTATGACGGTATTTTTTTATTTGTTACATTCAGTATTTTCCATCCATATACAGTTCATACCAAATAAACTTTTAGTCACGTGATTAAGCTTGTCCGGCACAGCGTTGCCCACTTTTACATATTTTCTTTTAATCAAAATATTTTAGGAAATAAAAATAAATTAATTATAAATACACTTCCCCAATAAATTAACGCACCACAAAAAAAAATAACCAAAAGTTTGAGTTAAGTTTTTGTCAAAACCACTTTTCCGATTTGGACGATTTTTTTTTGAATGATAGGTTATTCTTTCCACAATGTTGCTATACTAACTGTATTTTGATAGGAACCCTTTTTATACTAATACCGGGTGTAGCAATTATAACGTGTTTTTTTAATAAAATTTGTGACACCCTGTAGAGTTGATCAGTTACAGTATCAAGTTAAAATTGAAATCACATTTTAGCCTTATCTTTTTTTTACATTTTGTTTTTTTATTTACTCCATTATCTTCCTTATTACACGAGAAACAACATTTTATAGGATGACATGATTTAATATTGGTTTTAGTTAACATTTTTCCATTTTACTCACTAAAGTAACTAGCAGGCTATGGAAAAACCCGGATTACCCATGGTACAAAGAATACAAGGTATGATATTGCGCAGGTTGGTCGCTACGTCACAGGTGATAACAGACGCTATTGGTCAGCACGCTCCGCGCGCCAATTCAAATCGTTAAGATATTGATATAAACCTGTTTTTTTGTTTATATACCGTCATTGAATTATCGCTAAGCAAATTACTGTGGAGCAGTGCGTAAGGAGTCGGGCTAGGAAGCGAGAGACCGGAGTTCGAATCTCGGCCGGGACATAACTTTTTATTTTTTTTTTAAATACTGTTGTATTCTATAGTTTATTTTTATAGTATAAAAAAAGAACTATTTATTCTGTTATTTTTTAATCTCCGGTATTAATATAAATTGATTGTTGGTACAATACCTCATTTAATATAAAATAATATTCTACTTTTTGAAATGTATCGGGCCCTAATTGTACCTAAAAGCAATATATTTTTAGTGATATATCATATTGTAAACTATTTAATATTTCAGTCACTTAAAAAGTTAATTCGCATTGAATAATTGCCTACCATTAAAGGAAATTTGAGCTATATAATACTTGATGGGCATTTTCTGGGTATGCAAATACTTCCTCTAAATTTTAGGTTTCGTTCAACCGATTTATTCTTAAAACCTGAAACATCTACATATAAAAAGAAGCACAGGTCACTAATTATAATAAACTCTTCACCCTTGAAATTACTTCCACTAATTATAACAAACTTCACCCTTGGAATTACTTCTATCACAATTACAATACATTCATTTGCATTGGCATTTTCTACTTTTCAATGGGAAACTTCAACTTCCCAACATTTTTTAAATGATGTAACAATTCCTCTTGTGGTTACTTTTCCATAGATATCCTCATCTCTGTCCTCATGTGAATTCAGAGGCAATGAACATGAAAATTATTTACCATAAACATCGCAAACTAAAAACCTAATAAACAATTTTATACCGAATATAGAAATAAATTTAGTATTCTTACCTATTATCGTCCAAATCCATGTTAATATATAATTATTATCTTTAAATATATTTTTGGAACTGCTGGTTTTAGTAATTATTAAATTAAACGAACTAAAAAGTCTTAAAAATAAACAATTCTTAACCATAACCCCAAAAAATGCAAATTTCCTGTCAACTTTCTTTATTTTTTATTTATTCATTATTTTCCTAGTGACGTCACAGGTGGTATGCGCGAACTGAACGAAATTGGAGCCGCTATCGATCATACCTTGTATTCTTTGTACCATGCGGATTACCAGTAAATGTCAAATAGAGATGCTTGTTGTCAGTGTCAGTCGCTTTCGTCCTTTTATTATACCAAAAATATGCAACGTGCACGTGAAACAAGAAATCTTACTGGCGAAGAATGTGCTCAAGCATTAATATTGTCTGAGGAAGGTTGGAGCTACCGAAGAATTGGTGAACAATTTAATGTAACTCACTCAACCATTTCACGAGTTATACAACGGTATAGAGATCTGGGAGTAATTATCGCAGGCCGGGACAAGGCAGGAATCTAAGAACCAATCCGATTCAGGAACGTTTTTTAAAACTCTCAACATTAAGACAACATTTCGTAACAGTTCGGACCCTTCAAACTCAGCTCAGAGATACTAATGGTCTACAAGTTTGCACAGAAACTAGCATCTCTATTATCTCTATTTGACATTTACTGGTAATCCGTGTTTTTCCATAGCCTGCTACTTATTTTAGTGAGTAAAATGGAAAAATGTTAATTAAAACCAATATTAAATCATGCCATCCTATAAAATGTTGTTTCTCGTGTAATAAGGAAGATAATGGAGTAAATAAAAAAACAAAATGTAAAAAAAAGATAAGGCTAAAATGTGATTTTAATTTTACTTACTTGATACTGTAACTGATCAACTCTACAGGGTGTCACAAATTTTATTAAAAAAACACGTTATAATTGCTACACCTGGTATAAGTATAAAAAGGGTTCCTATCAAAATAAAGTTAGTATAGCAACACTGTGGAAAGAATAACCTATCATTCAAAAAAAAATCGTCCAAATCGGATAAGTGGTTTTGACAAAAACTTAACTTAAACTTGTGGTTATTTTTTGGTGGTGCGTTAATTTATTGGGGAAGTGTATATAAACAGTTATTATTTACATCAACAAAACTCACCTTCCTAACAGCACTTAGGTGGCACAAAGGGCCATTATACCGCTTTCTCGTTCAGAATATTCTAATAAAGTTGCGATGAGTTTTTTACGGCTATTAAGCTATCTTGTACACTTTGCACTAAAAGAGGTTTTAATCACATCATAATTCATCTAAACCAAAAATTCGTAATACAAAACTAAAATGTCAAAACGAATGACAATGCCGGGAAATAAATAAATAAATGTGACAACTCGAGATTTTTACAGCAGAGGTACCACCTGAATCCCCAGCGCGAAATTTAAATTCCAGTTAGTCAACCCGGCGCCGAATATGTCCATGGTTGGCAACAATGAATTTAAAAATCGCGCCCTCGATTATGTAATTAAAAGTTTAATTGGTTTCGAATATAGTAAAATATTTAAAAAAAATTAAATAAAACAAATCTGGAATTAAATATTTTTTACAACATTTTGTTGTAATTTTTAACTAAGAGTTTTATTAATTTTGTTCATTTTAAATTTTAATTTTAGTTACCCATTTTGGACAAGGTTTCTACCCAAACCTGAGGTAACCTCATTTCCAAACAAAGGCGATTTCATCGATTTAATAGTGATGCCTTTGATACTGCACATTATATCCGTTGTGGTAGTGTTTGTGCTAGTGTGCACGTACTGTGTTTCTTTGTTCACTCTGGAATCGACTGTACATAAATTGACACTTAAGTAAGTTTAAGTTTTTAGTGTAACAAAATCCATTTTTAATTTTTTGGTTGTTTTAGATTGTTGGCCAGAACAGTGACAATGACTATTCGATTTTCGGATTATTTTATGGCTTTTTTACAAAAAGTTCCCTTTATAGTAGCCACTGTTTTGATTTTATTGTGTTTTTCTACTTGCGGCGGTTTAGCTCTATGTGTTGGAACTGTCTTTTATTTCTTGAAGGTAAATATGAATGTTTTATACTCTATTTTTATAGGCTTGGTGCATTATCCGACGGTGCTGCCACCAACGGAAAATCTCATAATAAACCGACTTATACAGATACACGACTTTGAATAAAAAGCTTAATATATACTCCTTATATCAAAAATCTTAGACTGAACGCGACGGGCTCCTAAAATGGCCGACTTATTAAATTCCGGTTTATCAGTGCCGTTCTAATTTTATGATGTAGGGTAGACGTGGGGTAGACTCAATAATTTGTTGTTTTATTTTACGTTGTCAATAAATGTTGATAGTTTATAATTTTTATAAAAATATATAATTCTAATAAAAATAGATAAGTTATAATAAAAATTTATTAACACAAACATCCGATACGCTACTGAAACAGGTAAGTCAGATTGACGTATCTAAATTCTTTGACATCTAATCTTTGACAAGTAGGATATAAATAAAAACAAAAATGCAAGAAAAAATATATCATTAGTTAATTTTAAGTGAACTTCATAAATGATCGGTTTACTACACGTATGTATGTTATATAGTCACTTACTAGCGGAAAGTTATTCCATTATTTCTCTCGATTTTTGACCGAGATCTACCGCACGCTACACAATCAACTATTTTACAGTGTTTTTCGATAGATCGCAATAGTGTCGCTGTTAATTTGAGTTCTACCACAATTTTATTGTAGAGTTACTCCCTCTAAACAACTACCAGTTGTAGAATAAATAATAAATAACATAAAATAAGCTCAGTAAAGACACAGCAATACACAAAATTTCAAATCATATTCAAATGTGTCAAATGAATCGTCAAACAGAATTGTCAAGGATCCCCACCCTAGGGCCCTTTGTCTGTCTACGTCTGTCTACCATGCATGATTACATGATAGCATTATACTCCTTTTTTATTTTTTTTATTCAAAGGATACACGAGCTTAAATAGCAAGTACACGAAAAATTTGATAAGTGCAATTTGGGAAAATTCTAAAAAATAGAGAGGTAAACCTTTTGATAATCTTCAGAAGGTCTAACGTGTAGTAGTAGCACAGATTATACAGATTATAAACTTTGTTTTTTCTTTATTGTTTTTCGTGGTTCCAATTTTCGGAATCGGGCACTAGTTAGGTTACTAGTTTGCGCACATAGCACGCCCACTTATGGCCTCTAAAATTGTGCACAACGCCTGACCGGCACAGTTGTTAGAGAGATATCGGAAAACCGAATAGCGTCATGCAGTATTTACGCGTACCTTATCATGGTTGCGATATGCGCGAGTCAGTTTTTAACGCAACACCCGCTAATAACGTTACCGCCTGACGTAATTTGTGGATCAATTACACCAAGCGCTATTTCTAAATAACGTTTAAAAAAATGGGCATGTGCGGGTATTTGACAACCGGGGCCGGCCGGCGAGATCTTTTATTTTAGGTTATGTTTGAATTGTTTTGAATTATTACTTTAGTTTTATTAGGTAATTTGATATTTAAGTAGCTGGGATTAGTTTTAATTGAATAAATATGGCCCAAAATATGGATTCCACCTCTTCCAATATTAAAGAACCTATAAAGAGGCTTAGGTTTACAGCAGATGACGACTTAGCCCTTCTAAGAGAATTTGTTGCTTGTTTCCCTAAACCCACTGGCAGACGTTGAACAATAAAACACTGAAAATAAGCACTTTAGCCCTTTAGTTTTAAAATATCTAGTAAAGAAAACAATTTCAAAGTTTTAAATTCAAAGTTAGGTTAAGTTTAAATAGCGGACGCGACGCGAACAGAATTCTTTCCGATCCGATAACTCTAAATGAAGAGAGTTAATAGCACCTCACGTAAAGGAAATAACACCTGGCCTTAATAACGTCCATGCACGCTATTCGGTTTAGCGATATCTCTATTACGCTGTTTATTGTTATTTTACGCGAGTTTATTTTTGCGCACACGAAATTTTACTCGTTTGCACAACGTCATAAAAAACAATTTTCGTACCACGAATTACGGACAAGATTTTTATCTGTATATTTATAGGATACCTAATCTGTGGTAGTAGTAAGTAACGTGTAGAATAGATACAAAAAATCTATAAATCTTTAAATAGAAAAATTTTCGCGCAACATTTTAATTATTTAATATTTGTTTAATAAATAACTTGCATCCTAGCATTTTTTCGGTTTACATGTGGATTGTGTCTCTTAAGTACCTTTGCATTGAGTATAACAAAATGTGATATATCTGTTTTAGTTAACGAAAATGTCACAAGATTACGTGGAACACGTCACTTGGTTCATACTGAAAAACGTAGCAAGAAAAATACGAAAATTGTTCAGTAAAAAACCGCCACCACCACAAATTACCAATAATCAACTCACCGAACGTTCAGAGATCGAAAATGAACGAGAAGAGATAGAACTAAGCGTAAAAGACAAGGAAGAAGAGCCAGACACCGATATTACGCCTAAAACTGTCGAAGCAAATGAAGAAAATGACGACAGTGAAGAGAATACAATGGAAATAGTGGAAAAGGTTGAAGAAAACTCGGAGGAACAACCTAACTATCCTTCAACTAGTGAGGAAATTAATGAAGAACAGCCAGAACAAAAGGAAGAATCGGAAAATTCAAAAGGGTTTTCGTTTGAGGGGTTGTCCGAGACGAACAACGCCATTTTCTTCCATTCCTCCATGTTTTTCATTTGGGTGATGGTGATGGGTTTGAATTTTCCAGCAGTGTTGACATGGGCGCATAATTTTAAGTAAGTCAAAGAACTTTATGGTTTTCTAGGGTTCCATTGTTTACTTTTTTTATCACTCTAAATTTTACATAACCAAATTGTCACTCTAAATTGCTGTCTTTCTTAGACAGATGCCACTTGTCATTATTCAATTCATAAATAAAAAACGAGCTTAAAAAATTACGATATAATATATATTGTAATTTTTTAAGACGTATGAAATACCTATGAAACATTGGAAACCGACGTTATGTTAGATTAGGTTAAGTTTTTAATGCCACTTTTTCACAATTATCACGGGTTTGAGTAAATAAAATTTAAATTAAACTCACAAGATGGCAGTAATTACTTTGAAAATTGACGCTTTAAACTTTTGGTTATTTTTTCAATGAGGGCGGTTTAAATTGGTTATTTTTTCAATGAGGGCGGTTTAAATTTTGAAAAATTTCATATTTTTTGAAGATTCCGACTTTGACAAAAGAAAATTATTTTTTTTCTTGTTTGCGGTTGTTCTTAGCAACCGCTATAGCAGCGCCCTACAACGTATGCGCACCAAAACAATTATAACTTTTGGCGGCAAGCCGAGCATTCCAATCTAAACTTGTTTCTTTTATCTGTGGTTAGGATTTCAAGAATATGTATCATTTTTAGGTATAGTAAACATTTGCCTCATGACGAATCGTTTTTACCTGGATTGTTGCTCAGTATCGGCGCATTTCCTCTATGGCAGTTTGAATTTCCCTCAAACAATAGGTAAGTGAACAAAAAAAAAATTAATAAAAGTTTAAAATTTATTTTTTATCGCTTTTATAAAATACGTGCAATATTTCTGCTTCAAAAAAGTTTTTAGCTAAAAAAATAATTCAAAATATATTACTTCCATCTTTTCAGGAGATTTACTCACGAGCTACGCCTCATAACCTTATATTTTACCATCATATTACTGGTGTACGCCACTGTCTCGGTATACGTAGTCAACTACCTCCTGACCATCCTGTTTGTGCTCGTCGTTCTGCAACAGTATTACAATTTGGCAACGGCGCAAACCGCGCAGGAACCTTCGGATAGTGACGACACAAAGCAGCACGAAGACAAATACGAAGAAATGAAAATGAAGATGGACTGACTCGCGAGGGAACAAAATGGCGGATTATACGTAAATTATATTTAAAAAGGTAAGTTAAATTTATTTGATTAATATATTATCGATGAGACATTGCTATACAGTGTGTCCCAGAAATAAGTGCAAGTATTTTAAGGGATGGTAGATAACGGAGTTATTTTACTTTGAAAATTTCCAAAAAAAATATTTTTTGCTCAAATTTTGAGAACCACTGGATCTTTTCTGGATTTTCTTTTTTGTAAATTTAATCTACTACCTATGTTGCCATATTATCAAGAAATTATGTTCTTTAACTAAAAACTAAAAAAAATTCCAAAATTTTTTTCAAAAAATTCCGAATTTTCAAATTTTTTTTCGCGAAAAGACCTCATAGTTTCTGGGGTTGAACTATACTACCAGTTAAAATACTTGCACTTATTTCTGGGACACCTTGTATAACAAGCTTCATTTAGAAGTTTGTTCCTCTAATTTCAATGTAAAACATTCAATACGTCAAAATTAGTAGCAGTAATTTTTTAATTAGTAAAAAAAGTTAACAAATTTGTAACTTTTTCCACTAATTATGCCTGAAAATTTATAAGACGCCCTGTATAGATAGGTTTACTTCTCGAAAAGTTCAGTAAACTTTTTAGTGCCACTGTTTTAGATAATTGAGTGATGTCACAACCGACAATGTTGCCATTTCTTACCAATTGATAGGATAGATCTTAGAAAATTTAACTTTTTGAATAAGGATTTATTAAGAAATATTTTTAGTACATCAAGTATTCAGGGCAGAACAAGAATTCAATAAAACACAATAATGTAATTAATTAAATTATTATTTAATTAAATATTAAAATACATAATATTTATACCCGTTGACATCAGAAACTTTTTAGAGCCACTGATTTAGGTAACCGACTAACATCACTATCATGCAACGTTGCCACTTTGGACAATTTTTTTCCGTTTTTCGGTTTCATCAGAATCAAATTCACTTGAATGATTTTTCCCTAAACATAGCGTTACACCATTCATAAAAAAATTCACACCAAAAAGCAACCACTCTGTATATTCGTTGTTTAATAAATAAATTGTTTTCAGTTAAGTGAGAACTCCACAGGCTACTAACAACTACTAAAAAACTGATTATTCTCAGCTGCTTACTATACAATGTCTCAGAAAAGTTTTTCAATTTTTGAACCTTTAAAAATAATATAGTAAAAGGAAGTAAAAAATATTTCAATATTACTCAAAGTACAGTGAGATAAACTATATTTTTTATAGCTGTTTCTGAGGTATTTAAAAAAATCAATATATTTTAGCAGTAAATTACAGAAAGTGCTTCCAACACTTTGTATATAGTACGGAATTGTTTAAGATAGTTTAGAAAATGTAAAAATACCAAAAATTCTATTCTTCTACTATATAAATTGGTTTAATGTTAATTAAGGTTTTTTTTTCTTAATTTTTTATTAGGAATTTCTTTTATAAAGTTTCAGTTAACGATTTTTTTACTTTGATATTTTCTTAGTAAGTTATATGGTTGTGTTTTGTGTTATTATTTTTATTTCTTAGACATATTAAGTGTTCGTCAAAGTATGTAAACCATTATTAATGTTACATATTTTCTTAAAAAGTTGCTTGTAATTTTTGCCATGCCTTAGAAATGTAGTGCTTTTATAAGTAATTTAGAGCATCAGATCCTTATAAACTTCGTTGATAAAGCTATAAAAAAAAGAAAAATGCATGTCATATACTCATAAAAGCAAAGTTGTATGTAATACACTTATTGTATAGCTTTTTCCACGCGGTTTATAGGAACTAAGATGTTTAGGTCTAATTTTTTTTACCAAAAATTTAACATATTTTTAATTATTTATAGACTTCACAAATTCGCTCAAAGGCAAGAACTAAATATACTTAAGCCTGTAAATTGCCTAATACTGTTTTTTTAAAAGCAGAAACTTTAATATTGTATATAAATTTGATGAAAAAAAATCTATTCATATATACCTATAATATATATCCTGCACAAATAGGTATAAATAACTAATAGATGTAAAAAAAAGAGTTGCATTGCAGTATTTTTATGTGAAAGTAAAGTTTATTGACAAACACCAAATTACTGTTTTCTGTGATATGTAGCGTCTATAATTGTTGTAAAATTAGACATAATCATATCTTTAACCGGAACGTTAGATTTATAAAGTTCACTGTAATATATGTATAATTAAGTTAGTTAGCGTGTTTGATTTTTGATCATATGGCTGTTAGAGTAATATGATTAAGAGATTATTTATTAATATAATAACTACAAAATTTGAAGAAAAAAACATGTTCTTCTATATTTTCTTTATTTTCAATAAATTACATCACATGATGGTACAATATTAAAAAAAAACAATTAATAAAATATACAAATTTTGGAAAAAAATACAACATGAAACAGGCTATTATTTTTTAAAAATTATTTGACACTTTTTTATAGGCAAATTTAATTTTTCTATACCGGTGGTTTCAAATTTAACTCTCGTATTATTACGAGTCGGATTTGAAACTCGCGGTATAAAATAAAAAATAAAATTTTTACAAGCAATGAGTCCATTAAAAGTCCTATTACAAATTTATAAACCACATTGTTTGTAGAATTCTACAGAGCATTTATTTATACACCAATAAATACTTATTTATTTTAAAGTATGACAGACAGATAACAGAAATCTCTTCTCTGTCTTTCAATCTCTACTTTCAGTACATACTAAAGTCTGGCCAACGAGTCCGGGAAGATTTCGACAGACTACATCCAAAAAATGACAGAAAATACAATTTACCTGTGAAGGAAAATGACAGACACGACTGTCACTGTCATGTGTCCTCTCCTTCGACAGACTATAATAACTTTTATATTTTTAATCTAAGGTAATAAATCCTTTTTTAAAGCCCCTATTTTAAAAACGACTGAAAACTTTTTAGTGCCACTGACAAATCTGAACAGCGTTGCCAGTATGAGGATTTTTACTTTACTTTCTAAGATATTGTGCGCGTTCAGGGACGGTCAGCGGCTGAGAAACTGAGTAAGCGAGTTCGCTAAACGGTCTATTTTGACACACAAAATCGGTCAGCCGCTGAGCTCTCAACGCCGCTGAATTCTCAACGGTCAATCAGCCGCTGTGTTCCCTGAACGCGCACATTGTTATTACAGCAAAATTAATTTACGAAAACTAGATTTTTAATATATTTTTTGACTAGAAATATGTATATCAGTCAGTAAAGACTTAATTTAGGAAACATTTCTGAAATCTTTTTAGTGCCACTTACAAACGACTGACGTCATGATTTTACAATGTTGCCAGTACGAAGATATAGTAGGTATTTATGATGCATTTGACACTTTGACACAACAAACTAATTTTGGAAAGCCATATTTTAAATTATTTTCAGCCTAGAGATACGTGTAGAAAAATTATGTAGTGAAACTTCTTACTAACAGCTATTAAATTGAATTTCTTTACGCACGCCGGGAATAAAAATTCAAGGCCTTGACACAGAAGCTAGTGAGATACAGCCTACGGCTTAGAGTTGGTGATGGTCCTTAGGACCTTAGTTGGTAATGGTCCACTTTAGGTACGTCGTCAATCTTGAAGTTATTGATATAAATTTGATATTAATATATTCTACAATTAATGTTTTAACGTTTTAAGTACGGATCGTACGGATACTCGGCTAAATGTTTGAGATTTCTGCAATAAAATTATTTATTTTTTGAGGTTAGAATTTAGCTTTCCTTATTAAGTTTAATAAGAGTGACAAGGAAGACGCAGATTTAGGTTTATTTGTCTTTTGCTCGCGTCTGCGTATATCGCTGGCGGTAATAATGAAATATTGAAAATCGGAATTTTGTTTTATTTATACTTTCATATTAATTTTGAAAAATAGCGGTAGCGATATTAAGCTGATAAGAATAGATATTATATTCTGATCTGTGTTAAAGGTTGAGAAGAGGATCACAATGGTAAAAACGTCCGCCGTAACTGAGTTTTTATTGCATTGGTTACAACATTCTTTTTGGGGGGTTTGTTTTTGGTGTTATTTATGGACGATCCGCACTTTTTTTGTTAGAAAATGTCATTATAAGTGTTCCTCTTCTCAATTCTGTATAGAAAATTTGTTAAATTTTTACGTACCTAAAGTGGACCAGACCCCACGTGTTAATCAAAAATATTGATAATTTAATACAAATTGCATATTATGCAAGTTTTTAATTTATTACTTTTTCGACATTTCAAACTACACTTTCAAAATGTCCTTTAAATTCTTCAGTTTAATAGCTGTTAGTAAGAATTTTCACTCAAATATGCGCACATAGTGCACACAATTTTTTTTGAACAGATTTTTGTACATTAGTTCATCTGATTTACTGAAAAATGATGACCAGAAGAACCACAATATCTCCCTTCAATGAGAAACTGTATTGTTTTATAACTTGATCACAACTATCCTAAAATTCATTTTCCTTTCTTGTGAGTTTTTTGGTGAACTGTTAAATTTTGTTTAGTAGCAAACCCTTTGAAACAATGCTCACATTTGAACGGTTTGTCATCGGTATGATTGAATAAATGTACATTTAAGTTTTGCTTCAACGAGAAAAACTTGCCACACACTTCACATTCGTAAGGTTTCAATTTATCATGCACCCTATAATGGATATCTAGCTGTGGTCTCAAACGAAATCTTTTGAAGCATTGACTACACTCAAAAGGCTTTATATTCAAATGTATAACCTGGTGATTTTGTAATTGTTGCTTGAGTTTGAAGGATTTTTCACACTGATCGCAAGGAAAGGGTCGATAATCTTGATGTGTAAGTTGGTGCCTTTGTAACTGTTGTTTTAATTTGAATCCTTTACCGCAAGTGTTGCAAACAAACTGTCTGGTATCGTTGTGTTTGAGTTGATGAATCTTCAATTGCTGTTTATAATTGAAAGTCTGACCGCATATATCACAGCGATACGTGTATCCTTGGTGAATCTTTGTGTGCGCAATTAAATTTGTTTTGTGCTTATAACATTTACCGCATTGGGTGCACTCGTATTTTTGCACATCTAATTCAATCTCTGCTTCTGAATTAGCTTCGCTAATCCCTTTCTCGGTCAAGTGTGTCTCTGAATGTTTGTGAAATAGTCTTTTCGAGCTAAAAGAGACTCGGCACACTTCACATTTAACTTCGTACCGTTCGCCGGTACTTACAGATGTTTCTACATCCTGTACTGCGGTTGTTTGGTTCGGATTTGTAGCACTTTGATTAAATTCACAGCCTTCGGGCGATTCCAAGATGTCGGTTTTTATAAATTTGTTAATATCCACGAAGGAAATATCTAGACTCTCATTCATTTTTTAAAACTAATACGTTAGAATATCACAATAATAAAATCTTTTAAAACTATTTTAAATCGAAATTCGTAGGTTAGCTTTTTTGTTTACTGTCCGAAATGTCAAATCGTGTTTATTATTTCTGTCCTTGTTTATTTTTTTTTTGTTGTCCTTGTCTAATAATTAACCACAGATTCAAATTTTGAATCTCGTTAGATTATTTTTCTGGGAACTGGCCATATGATTTAAGAAGTTCATGCCATTTAAAAGGAAAAGAAGAGCAAATCTATGTCTAATCTGTGGTTGTCCATGTTTCGATCCGTAATTCTTAAAAAGAAGAAGAATGTTACTTTTATTCTGTGGTTACGGATCTCTTTAGACCTAAAATACGAAAAAGAAGAAGAACGCTGGTGGCGCTAATGTGGAAAAAGTGAGAAAATTTTGAACTAATGTATTTCCAAGGTTGCCAAGATATTAGAAAAATCCTGAAATTAATCTAAATCAATATTTTTGTAAGTCTAAAATGTAAAATAAATTGAACCGTTACAAAATCTTGAGAAATCTAATATACATTTAATACAAACTTTGTTTCGGTAGAAATAATATATTTTCTTTTAGACACAGCATTATTTGTGCAGAAAAATTGACCATTCTGTTTTACACGTGTTCAATCTGACAACGTTGACGTGCCATATATTCCGTAAATTCCGTTGTATGGAGTGTAGAGGCAGAGACAACTTCGAGACGTGAAAGTAGATAGGAATATTTGTCCAGAGTTTTCCTCTCTATTTACCTCGCATATTCCCCAATAAATATGTCCTTTTATCACATCAAGGCAGGGGAACTTAGATGGCGCAATTGTCGCCCATTTCCCTGTTGTCAAATTGTGTTCGTTTTAAGTACATTAAATTTGTTATCTTTGTCTTTCTCACTCAGACTTCTGAATTAAAAAAATATTTATGCTTTGAATTACTTCAATTTGGCAACGCTGTAGAAAATATCGATATCGACGAACACGTGACTCTACGGACGGATCGAACTCCGCGTCTCCGGGTCTTTCTCCGCCATTTTGTCTTTCTTTTCGTTTCGAACAGTTTTGTTTGTGGTTTTCTTTTTTTCGTGTGTGTTTTTTACGTTTTTTGTGTTTTCCCGGATTTTCTTTTGAGACATTGACTCTTTGTGGTGATTTAGTGAAATAGTGTGTGTTTATTCTAAAACTATTAAAGGTAACAACGGTAAATGGTGATAATGTGTAAATGTTTAATATTTTTTTAATTATACATTAGGACCTAGCCAACTGCTGCTGCTATTACTATTATGGGAGCTCATACATGCTTAGTTTGCGGTGCTAAGGAGTACGAAGTTGCGAAAATGCATTACTTTCCTGCGAATCTAGAAAGGTAAATATTAATATTTTTTCATTTTCCTATCTCCTTCGAGTAAACGAAAAATACACTTCTTTCGGCACTAGTTCCTTTTTACTTTAGCTGACTGTGCCGCAAAATGTTTAATATAATTTACTTTGCTGACAAAGTTATTTTAAAGGCAGTCAGATATTTACTTTGCTTGCAAAATTATTAATGTAAATATAATCCTCGCCAGTCAGCTAATGTTAATTGGCATCCGCTTTCCAATGTGCTTGTAGGTATATGTACCCTATGATCGAAAAAGAAACGGCGTCAGTGATGGCTATGAAATGAAGATCGCTGTCATTTTATATTATTTAAAATTATATGGGGAATGTCATCGATATTCATTTTCAAGCCAACTGGACGCTATTTTTTTTTCGATTATACGGTATAAAATATAATTTAAAACTATGCTTTTTTACCAAATAATAAAATTATGAGTTAAGCTGAGGAGTTAAGTTATATTTTTACACACAGTACACAGTGATTAAGTTACCCAAGTGTAATTATAGAAATATATTTAGAATCTAGACATACAATGTAAGAACCTATAACTACCATGATACCACGGCTTACTCATAGACAGCTAGTCAACTCAACAATTTATATGGAACACTTTGTGCCTACTTCGATACTCGCTTATCTTACTCAAGTGCGATTTCAATACGAGGAACACATCAGAGCCATATTTTAAATATTGCATGTTTGGAATAAAGTCAGAGTATTTAGCAATTAGCTAGAAAATATTGGTAATTATAAAAAAAAGTAGCACTAGCAATTATTAAAGTTATTGATTATTTTCTTTATACAAAAGAAAACTAAAAAATACCTACCCCAAATCATTCTAAAAAAGCAACATTTCTGTAATATTTTTTTTTCTTTAATTTTATTGAAATATATGATATTAAGCAATAATTTAAGCCTGTCAAATGATACAGTGAAGATTTTGACAGATTTGAAAAAAAAATACAAATACTCTTAGTTTATTATGTAGTATTTAGATTTAGGATATAAATATATCCCATATACCTATACCATGTGATATGATATTTATATAAATATCATATTTTCAAACCCTGTTTTATTTGTAGGTCTAGAATTTGGCAAGTGACGCTAGGCTTTAAGTATACTGGGCAGTCACTGAAAAACAGAAGAATCTGTTCCAACCATTTTTCAAGTGATGCTTATATAAACAGGGCAACATACCAGCTTCGAAGGGATGCAGTTCCAAATCCTTTTGTAGGTACTCCGTCTACATCCGTCAGTCCAGCCACCACCACCTCAACTTCTCAAGTAATACCTGTTTCGGAGGAAACTATTAAAAATGATGAGTTGACAGAAACATATACGGTTGGTCAAGGTATTCATTAGTTACTAACATAATGTTGTGTATTCATGTTTGACCTTTATGTCACCAATACCATACAAATTACAGCATAGGTGTCAATTTTGTGATGTAAGGGTGAATATAGAATGGGAGGGTTAATCACCTTGACCTTACAGATTTAATTTGCGCATGTAAGGGTGAAACTTGATTACACAAAAATAATTTGTTTTTACGCTTTCTAGCTAGGTTAAAGTAGATAATACAAGAGGTCTTAATACGAGTGGCCTTTCAAATTTTAGTTGTTTTTTTGGATACCACAAAAAATACTTAAAAATATTTTTGTCGGTGACAACTTTTTTTTTTTTTTTTTTTTTTTTTGTGGTGTTATCTACTTTGACACTACTACTATAACAATAATTGGTAATTATAATAACATAGTAACCTTTATATTACATTGTAAATAGTAATAACAAGGATAAACAGTAGATCAAGTTAATAATCAAACTAAATCTGACTAATCTACAGGTCTAGAAACAGGTCTGGAAAGAACTAATTTTTTATTCTAATAATACTATGAAAAGAAAAAAATTATGAACCTTAAAACAAATTAATTTATCCTTACTTTGTCATACAACCAGTCACAAAAATTTGTCAAATATAAAAAATGACCTACATACATGTGGCCTGTTATAAGTAACATTTTTGTATAGTGTTTGTGTAGACAATTTAGATATTTACGCAATGTCTTATTTTATATTGACATTATTGCTTGGCATGTTGTAAATTAAATTTGTATTATTTATTTACTTATTTATTTATTAGTGTTTCGAATTCTACTTTAATATTTTGGTAATCATCTCATAAAAAATATCTTTATTTATTAATATTTTCCTGATTTTTTTAATAAAAATTATTTTGGTTTTTACATGTACATGTTATATTTATTGGGCAGATAATAATTTCTAAACTATTCTTTTTAATTTTAGATGTGAGTAACAGCATTATTTGTACAGATCCTTGCACTTCAATTGTACCTGAGGCATCTTCATCGATCATGGGACCAGATGAGAGCGGCGGTATTATATGTGCAACTCCTTCAACTTCCACACCTGTAGCATCTTCTTCATTGACCATGGAACCAGTGATATCTGGTTTCACAAAAAGCAGGAAAAAAATATTTAAAACAATTGGAGATCTGCAATTAAAAGATTTTACACCAAGAAAGAAAAAACTTGTAGATATAATTCACAAGAAAACTGACCAACTCAGAAAAGTTAAATATCTTTGTAAGAAAAGATTATTTGATATGAAATCTGTTTCGAATCTTGCTGACTCTAATGTGGTACATAGTCTATTTGAAAATATGTCATCTGTAACAGCAAATTTTATGATATCGCAAATTAAAAACTCAAGAGCAAAAAGTGTTATGGGAAGAAGATGGACGTTGGAGGATAAGCTTTTAGCTCTCTGTATTTTTAAGAGAAGCCCTAGGTGCTATAGTTTGCTAAGAAGATTTTTTGCACTTCCACACAAAAGAACATTGTTGGCATTGTTAGAAAAAATACCATTTGATGCAGGAATTAACAACCATATCTTTAAGCAATTAAATGAAAAGCTCCCTGAGGGTTTGGATAGAAGCTGTGTGCTATTATTTGACGAATGCGATCTCCAAGAGAATGTCCAGTATGATCTGGCTGCAGATAAAATACTGGGCTTTGAAGATTTCGGTTCTATTGACAGTCCAGGCGAGAGAAAGTTTGCAAATAAAGCTCTAGTTTTTATGTTAGTTGGGCTGAACATGAAGTGGAAGCAACCAGTGGCATTCTATTTTAATTGTAATGGTTGTAATTCAACCATATTGCAACAATGTATCCTTGCGGTTTTAAAAGCTGCAAAAAACTATGGAAATTTGAATGTTGTTGCAACAGTGTGTGACATGGGTGTCAGCAATGTAAAATGCATGAAGCAATTGGGTGTGACTGTAGAGACACCTTTTTTTATGTTTCAGAGCAAAAAAGTATATACCCTCTACGATCCTCCTCATTTGCTGAAATGCACATTTTCGTTATTTCGAAAGCATAATATTCTTTTACCGTGCTCAATTGGGAATGAGGAAACAAAAACCATGATGGAAGCTCGTATTCAGGACATTAGAAAAGCCTACCTTATCGACAAAAATAATCCATATGTATTCAGGACAATGCACAAAATTAAAGATACGCATTTAGAACCAGTAATGAAGTATGCAATGAAGGTATGTGTGGCAGCACAAGTCCTTAGTCACACAACTGGAGCTTTCCTATATTCGTTAGTTAGTCTAGGTATTTATTTTATTAATTATTTTTTTATTGCGATTTAAGCTTGGCACCTTGCGCTAATGTGC